TCTATAGTCATTCTACTTCTTCTTTGTAAAACAAGAAATCTATGAACCGCGATATTAAAAAGTGGAAGCAAATACCAAAAAATCCGTGGATGATTCACTGAGGGCAGTCTTTTGAAAATTCACCAACTCCAAAACTATTGTAAGCGTGTAGCTGAGTTGCATTCATGAACGACAACAAAATTGCTAATCGGATGTGGAGGGTGAAAATTGCGATGTCAATATTGGCGCATTGCACTGTTCACCTACGTCATTTCTGTCTCAACCATATTTGCATGAAGAAACGGGTAGCCGAAAGAGGAAGAAAGACGGTTAGCTCGCAGAAAGCGCGCAAATGAAGTATGATTGGAAAATGAATCAGGACATTTATTAGAGTTTTATTAGCCATTTTGAGTGAAAAATGAGATTTTTAGGTATGAGAGATGCCCAGAGCTCGTTTGAGACGAACATATTTATTATTAGCTTCTTAAAGCAACTTTCTATATATATATTTTAAATTTTTATACCAAAAAGCTTAAGAAGCCAGTAGAAACCGTCCAAAATGAACCCCGCTTTGTTGACATTTTTTACTATCTCCTGGATGATGAATGAATGGTTTCTTCGAAGCTAAATACTTGCCATTTTCTTGAAGATTAAATCCATCATGAATTTGAATCTTAAAAAAAAAAAAAAAAAAAGCTAATTTTAATGAATTTTCAAACATGAGTTGATTTTCATTTATTTTTGTTAGGAATTAAAATAAAGAAAAATTTATGAGTTACTGGCTCTGTGGAACTTTCAGCAATAGATAAAAAAAAAACATAAATCTCTCGACTTTGTGAATTTTCATGCATTAGATTGAAAGATAACATTAGTCTATCTCCTTTGTGAACTTTTATGCAATAGATACCTTATCAGAGAAATATTGCAGATGTTGATAATTAAAGATTCCTCCACATATCAAGGATTTAAACTAGAAAAACAAAAAGAAATAGAGAATAAAAAACAAGAACTAGACTTGAGGGGAATCATATAAGAGTAAGGCTTCGTTTGGGACGACTTTTTTTTCTGCTTCTTAATAATTTTTTTTTAATTTTTATACTAAGAAGTTTCTTTAAAAAGCAAGAAAAAAACCGTTCCAAACGAAGCCTAAGTAATGCACCTCAAGAAGCAGAAACCACGTCCCTAAACGATACACATTAGGGATGTTTTGTTGCAATAGTTAGCAAGAATTTAGGCTTCGTTTCGCACCAGCTTTCTTGCTGTTTCTTAAAGTAACTTTTTGGTACAAAAAATTAAACAAAGCCTTAGCCTAAGGTTTCATTTGGGATGGCTATTTTACTGCTTTCTAAAACAATTTTTTAGTTCAAAAATTCCTTGAACAAAAAGTTTTTGTATTAAAAAGCTAATTTAGAAAACATCAAGAAAGCCGCCCCAAATCATGCCTAAACCTTGCCAATTTATTTTTTGAGCTAAATATGGATTCAGTAAATCCTCAAAGAAATAGAATTGAAGAGATTTACATAATTTCTTCTGATTCAAATATAAAATCTTGATAATATCTGCCAAATATATCATATGATTTAATGAAATTTAGTATCTACTATAGTACTATGCCAAACAATTTTCAGGATTGACTAAATCCTACTTGAATTAAATCATAATCTTAGCCAAACAGACCTAAGTATGTCACCTCTAACTAGCCAAAGCAAATCATACACATGCCCTTTGCTGCAGCTAAGCTAGCTCCAATAAGGAGCTACTGCAAAATCTGCTCAGCAGACCATCTAAGATTTTGTATGGGACAGCTTTCTTGCTACTCCTTAAAACAGTTTTTTATATAAAAGTTTAAATTTTTGTATTAAAAATCTGCTTCAGAAAACAGTAAAAAATCGTCCCAAAACAAGCTTAAATCTCCTATCTACAGAAGTCACAGAAATTGTAAAGAAAATAACAACGTTTTGTTACCCCTTGAGTTCAGTACTGCAGCCAGATGACTACTCCGCCCAGCATTGTTGCCTAAGCTGCAGCTTCTACTTCCTTCAGTCTATTCTCACTGACAAGCAGAGCAAGCCCATCCTTTTCTTCCTCCCTCATCACCCGTCTGTGATCATACAATGTGTTTGCAGTTATGACTCTCAAGTCCAAGCCACCATTGATCTCAAGCACCTCAGGCAATCCATTTGAACATCCTTTGGATAACCCAACGTCTATTCTAATGGCTCTGTTCTCACAAACAGCATTGATTCCTTGTTCCTGTATTGTATGACCCATTACCATCCTCCTCACTCCTGGGATCATGGCAAGAATGCCTTCAAGATGCTGGCAATCACAGTTAAAACCCTCAGAGAATCTCCTCAACCAGACCACACTATCCCTTCCTCTCATGTATGTAGGAGAGCGTCTTCCTTTCAAGCCATTAATCCAATCCCTAGCCTCTTCGTTGATCCTTTCCAAACCATACTCAACATGCCGCTGCAAAAGTCCTCCATGGACGAAAATTGAATCTCCGACCACCACGACGGTCTGATTGCCGGATAGGAAGCGTCGGGAGAGGATGCCGTCGGGTCGAAGGGCGGCGATTCTTGCTCGAAACCCCTCCCAGAACTCCCTTTTAACGCCGGGGAATGAGGTGGGGATTCCTTTGAAGGGATCGCTAGGCTTTTCGAGACCCGAGCAGAGGTGTTTCATGGAAAGACCGACACGGAACCATCGTCCCCATTGCTTGAACTCGTCGAGGCCCTCGGGGGTGACGTAGCGGAAATCGCCTTCTATATTCATGATCTCGTGGTTGCCCAAGATGGTGAGAAGCTCGCCACCGGCGCGGGACGCTTCGAATTTGAGCCTGTGGAGAAGGTAGAGGAGGCGGATCTCATCGCCACCGCGGTCGAGGACGTCGCCGACCTGGACGGCGACGGTGGCACCGCCGGTCCAGCGGAGGGAAAATGGGTCAGTGAGGCCGGCGAGGGCCAGAGCTTGGAGCGATTTAGAATGGTCGCCGTGTAGATCGCCGATCGCGACAAGGCGGGAAGGTGCGGGGAAGCGCGTGGAGATCGCAGGGGTTGGAGCAGAAGGGTTGTTAGGTTTAGTGTTTGGAAAGAAGAGGCCGCTCACGGAGAAGTCGACGAAAGCATTGACGAAGGATGATAGGTGGCGAGGAAGATTGCCGCATGTTAGGTCAGATGAGGTTGCCTCCTCCATCTCCCTCTCTCTGTCTTCCTCCTACCGCCCTTTGGAATTGGTGGAGGAGGTTGCCAATTTATAATGGAAATGAAGCCAGATGAATCTCCATAGCTGGCAGATCTCCTTTCCTCCTCTTTGCGTGTTTTACCAGCTCTTCTCGTTCGGTTACTCGTGCGAAATTTCTGTGCGCCTCAAGACCCAGACTTTGATCTTTAGGTCTTTTAAAAAATTTCCAAAAACTATAATGGCCGACTCCACCATCTTCTTCTTGCCATGAATGCCAATCTTGGGCCAAGCAGAACCTTGGCAACTGGATTCTTAGCCAAACTTGCTCCGCTTATACCTCTGAAAAGCTCGACTCCACCTGCATGATTCTAGTATAAACTGAAAGGGTTTTGATCTTTAGGTCTTCTAAAAAAATTCCAAAAACTATAATGGCTGACTCCATCTTCTTCTTGCCATGAATGCCAAGCTTGGGCCAAGCAGAACCTTGGCACCTGGATTCTGAGCCAAACTTGCTCCGCTTATACCTCTGAAAAGCTCGACTCCACCTGCATGATTCTATTTTTCTTATTCCACTCCTGGTCGCATCTGGATTAAGTGGAATGCCCAAAATGTCACTTTTACTCCTATTTTTACTTCTAGCCAGGTAATTCATGGAGTTGTTAATAATGGCTTTCAAGATGTCTGCTGTATCTCTGTTATTTATGCCTCTAACTATGTTGAGGAAAGGCAAAAACTTTGGAAAGATGTCTCGGAACTGGTTAACCTTTCTCCTCTGCCCTGGGCTATATTAGGAGATTTTAATTGTTGCCGTCTTTCTTCTGATAAAGCTGGGGGTCATCCTTTGTCTAACAGTAAGCTTGGGGAACTTAATACCTTCGCTTTTAATGTTGCTATGTCAGATTTGGCTTCGGTTGGGCACTACTACACTTGGCATAATCAGAGGTTAGACAATCCTATTCATATTAAGTTGGATAGGGTGTTCGTGAATGATAATTGGTTGTCTTCTTTTCCGAACTCCTACTATATTGTTAGTGATCCTGATATAAAGCTGGTAAATTCTGAAAAATTAGTTCCCAAATTAAATGATAAATATTATTAAATTTTGTGAAATTGTTTGATAATGGAATTAAGAACTTACGACAATTAATTCATTTAAAACTAAATTTATTGTATTTGGAATTTAATTTAGGTGTTAAGTATAAGTTACTTATTAATTTCAATTTTAATTATAATTAATAAATTATAATGATAAATAAAAATAATTAGAAGTTAGGTTATTATTAAATAATTTAACTGATAAATTAATTACAATTATAATATCAATTATCAAATTATTTTTTTAAGTATTAATTTAATAATTATTTAAAATCAAATTAATTAGTTAATTATTTTTTGTTGGTGGTTGTCGGCGCTTATCACCATAACATGTAATAGATTTTTTTTTGTTATCTCAGCTATCAAACCCACTTCATGTAGAAAATGAGACTCTACTTACAATATTTTGAATGCGTGGCATTTTGAAAATTTGTCCATAATCTAAAGTACTCCATTAAACGATCCATATTGATCATAGATCATTTATCTAATATTCGAGTGTCTTAATGATATTAGAATCGAATGATTTTAGACTTGTTGGATTTGTCTTGTTGAGCCACTCGGTTTGACAAAGAGTATAAAAGATTTGGAGATTATTTGATTATTTAGTTAACATCTTGAAGCTTTGAAATATGCTCTAAGGATTGATTTGAGTTTATTTGGACTTAGATCGAATCACTTGTGGTCCCAATGGTTCATATACTTGAGAAGTTTAGTTTGACTATAAGCATTTTGAAATCAAAGTTCATATGATTCTAAGTTTAATCATAAAAAAATTTCAATTCAAATATTATCTTTTAGATTTGTGTTGATTAAATGAATTTTTTTAGAGATTTATTGATGATATAGACGAGTTTTTTTGCTCAAGTTCAATTTATGGATCTCTCTCAATTGCTAAAACTCTATTAGAATACATAAGATCACAATAAAAAAAAATTGTACCATGTTAGTTGTATATTCCTTCATTGCTAACAAATCTATATTAATTTTTATCAATTATATCTTCTCACTCCCAAAAGAAATTCTAATTGATCTTAATTGAGAAAAGATAAAATTAAAAAGGTGTTATATCATTTTATGAATAGAAACCTACTCTCTATGATAAATGCGGATCCATCTCTAACAAATTTTTCGTAGCGGGGGCTCAAATTCAAGCACGCATCTGTATATTTTAATCCTGCATCTATGACCTCATGGCGCCAGCCCAAAACTCATAACCATTAGATAAAAATGGGTTGCATGATTTTAACCAATCATTGATCAATCATAGACTCGTATTTTTACTTATTTTTGTATCTATGAAAAATAGATATGCAAATAATGTAGTTTCAATTTTATTTTAATTTTTAGTTGCATTCAACCAAACAATGAAGGTTTAACAAAAGCTCATTATTTGCTAAAATATGATTTTTATCATTTGAAAAAAAAAATGCTATTGGGAGAGCAACTAAGTCTTTATTTGAGACAATTTTTTTACTATTTTATAAAATTATTTTTTAGTGCAAAAATATTTTAAAATCAAAGAAAAAACATTAGTTTATATCTGTCCCAAATGAAGGCTAAATTGACTGAACTCGATTGCAACCACCTTCCACAGAGATAAAAGGTGTGTTCATATTTTTATTAGGCTTTTCTTTCATTGGTGATTGAAAAAGCACCAAAGAAGATGGTAGAATGATTTGAAGTTGGTATATAAATGTAAATCAATGAATGGACAAATCTCTTTTTTTTGGGAGTCTACGAGTGACCTAAGTTGGTAGGGGATTGGCGGTGGTTAGAGGAGAGTGGGCAAATTATTAGGTCCGGTCATCTGATCTAGAAATAAGTCCGGACATCCAATAAAAACTTGCAACATGGACTGCACTTTGATTGTGCGCTTTAGGTGCGCTTTTTTGACTGCGCTTTACCTGCACTTTACTTGCATTTTTTACTGCGCTTTTTTGAGTAAAAGCACAGTCCACGTGTCAAATTTTTTGTGGATGTCCGGACCTAAAATAGGTCCGGTGACCAAGCCTAATAATTTGCCAGGAGAGTGAGGTTTCATTTGGGAAAAAGTTTTATCACTATTTTAAAAAAAATGTACTAAAAACTATTTTATAGTGCAATAATAAAGTTGTCCCAAACGAAGTCTGAATTGAGTGATTTGAAGTTTATGTATAAATTGTATATATTCTTCAGCCCAAAATGAAACATTGATTTGATTGCATTTTATATAATTCTAAAGATTTATTATTTTAACATTCCTATACATTACATACCTATATGAAACATCCTCCACAAATTTAAAGGCACTTAAAATTATATAGGATAGAGCAGAAAGAAATAGAGGTTCATCATATAAGTTTTATTTGGGATAATTTTTTGAATGTTTTTAAAAATTGATTTTTAGTATATTTTTTTTTGAAAGCAGAGAAAAAAATAATGGTATTGTCCCAAAAGAAGCCTTATAAAGCACCTTTTCAGTACATTTTTTTTAACTAATTTTTTTTATTATGAAGCTATTTAAAAAGTAGTAAAAAATATGTCCTAAATGAAATCTTAATTGTTCAAGTAAAGTTAAATTAGATGATATAATGAATATTAAATTATTTAAATATAATATGCATTATCTAATAATTAAAATTTTTATAAGTGAATACATAGATGAATGAATATTAAATATAATTTTTGATAAAAGTAATATTCAATATAATAAATAAAATTTATAATATAACAATGTTTATGCTCTTCACAACTTTTATAAATACTAAATTTCATTGCCGAACCCAATTTACCAGCCTAATTCTGATAACTCATTTTTTTAATAATTATCTTTACATAATTTAAAACGTAAGTCATTAATAGCAAACCAATTACTGTGGCTGTTAGTCATATATTCTTATTCAATCTACTCTAATATACTTTTAAGTGAATTTGAAAATTTTAAGAAAACCGAAATATACTATCAAGATTTTTAATAAAAAAATATTTTATAAAATCAGCCGGTTGAAGACCGATTCAACGATCTTCCGGATGAATCAAATATGATTCGAATCGATTCAATGATCTTCCAGTCAAATCAAATATGGTCAAACTGACGGAAAATTATTATGTGCGGAATCCGAACGTGTTCGGAGGCAAATCCGGGCATACCACATCACCGGGGCCAAGTGCATCAGGATTCGTCTCCGAATACATTCGGATTCTGCACAGAATAATTTCTCCAGACTGACAACTTTGATCGATTCATGATCAAATTGGCCAATTCGATCTGATTATGAAAACATTGACAATTCTCAAATAATTGGTATAATACTATAAAGCTGCTTTATGAAGCAATAAGAAAGCCATTCCAAACGAAGCCTAAGACTTCATTTGAGATGACTTTTCTTACCGCTTAAAACAATATTTTGGTACAAAAATCAAAATTTTTGTACTATACAACTGCTTTAAGAAGCAGTAACAAAGCCTAAGGGTTCAGCTTTAGACCAATGCTTTTTATCTACTTTCAAGAGATTTTTCTAGTAAAAAACAACTTTATAAAGCAATAAAAAAGCCATCCCAAACGAAACCTAAATGAGTGAAAATAAATAGTATTTTTTAACAAACATGCTCTGTAATCCCATTTTCAAGCGATCAAAGAAAATCCTAATGGAGAAAAAAATAGAATATTTGTCAGTAGGAGATTACTAAGATTAATGAGTTCAACATAACACAAGATTAAAGCACAACACAAATCCTTTTGTTCCCCCCACCAATGAATTCAAAGAATAATACACTTTCATCACAATTAAATCAAGAACAAATTATCAAAGATGTTTTCAAATAGTCATAATTTAGCTTTTTGTAGTAAAAAATACAGGAAATTTCAAAGCAAAACACATTGATTCACATGTTGGACTTGCTATCTGCATTTTACTCAATTGATTTTTGTGAATAATCGGGAGAAGCGCATGGATTTGTACCTGATGGGTATGAAAGGTCTTTGGCAAGAGGCCTTATCATGGCTCAGGCTGCATTTTCTCACATTCATCTCTGATCGACTGGAACAGAACTGAAGAAAGATAGCGTTCGCCAAAGCTCGGAAAAACAACCTATAACCAGCGAGTAAGCATAAAAATACAACGAGCTGATAGTTAAATGAGAGTATTAAGATGAATATATAATAAAATAGAAGTAGAGAAATGATTATTATGGGAGGGATAATATCTATTGAAGATGGTTAAAATTGAAGTAGGAGACTCAAAGATGTAGATGGCGGGCCAAATGAAGCAATTAAGGTTTCATTTGGGACGGCTTTTTTATTGTTTTTTAAAATGACTTTTTAATTTGAAAATTAAAATTTTTATACTAAAAAAGCTGTTTTAAGAAGCAGTAAGAAATCCGTCCCAAATGAAGCCTAAGTTGCATCCATTGTGCTCTTGAGGTAGTGGATCATGTAAATGAGTCAAGTTTGAGTTGGCCTTGACTAGAGGGATTGAAGCAATGAAACTATAGAAAGAAATATAACTTAGAGGAATTCAGATAAAAAATCTAAGTGAGAAGGAAAGGAACTAAGATTTAAATTTTTTTTATAAAATTGAGATTAAATTCTTAAATATTGATATTTAAAGTATGAGATATTTTTTAATTAGTTAGCTTATGAGCTAATGAGCCAGGTCAAGTTGACTCAAATTTGACTTGTTGACTTACGAATTATTTATCAAACCAAGCTTTAGACAACTCTTAGGTTGATTTAGTTATCACGCTAGCTTGGAAGTATGAGTTAAATTCACAAGCACAACATCTTGGTTATGTGAGGAAAGGGTTGCTTACATCAATCCCTCTCCAAATCCTGCAAAGCTTCATGCAGGGTGTACCCTTTGGTTAAGCATAAGACATAATCTTGTATTAAGAGAGGTGACAAAATTAATGTGGAAAGATTTGAGAGAAAAAGACTAGATCAAAGATAACATAAATAGTTGTTAAGAAAAAAAAATACTAGGGCCACAAGGGGTGGAAGTTTCTTTAATCTCCAAGTCACATACTCATACTTTGTGCCATTCAATTTAAATATTCGTCTTTTCAAGTTATTAAATAAGCAATTTTGTTGTTCCATTGCCTTTCAAATGCTTTCTTTCAGGTGAACATGGATAATGAGCACCAATTTTTAAAGATAACAGGTGAACGTAGACATACCGCAATAAGTTTTCCAGTGTTTTCTGGTCTTTTTGCCAACTTCATAGCAGCAGCAGCTGCAGCTCCAGAGGAAATTCCAACCTGCAACAGACAACAGTTCTTACAAGCATACAATCGAAAGCTATATCTTAAGAAAGTATTTGAGATCGTACAAACTGAAAAAATTATATCTAAATCTGCAAAAATGTTGCTTTGTGAGTCCATCTATGATCTTTCTGAAATTTGTTGTTATAGAGATGGATAATCTATTGATTCTGTTAAAATTAAAGCGGTTAATGATTGGCTAAAACTAAGAAACATACCTGATGTTCGGAGTTTTTATAATTTAGCTACTTTTATAGACAATTTATTAAAGATTTTAGTACTATTATGACTCTAATTTCAAATTTTCCAAAAAAGAAGAATTTAGATGGTTAAATCTATTGATCGTGCTTTTATTGAAATTAAAAAGAGACTTATTAATGTACATGTACTTAAATTATTTGATTTTTTTTAAATAAATTAATTCATTTTAATAGAGTGAGGCTTCTTGTGATGCATTGGGAGGACATATTAGAGGAGTGTTAAGTCAAGGATATCACATTGCATTTTTTAGTGACAAATTGAATGAAGCTGAGTAGAAATATTCAAACTAAAATAAGAAATTATATGATGTAGTGCAAGCCCTTTGATATTGGAGATATTATATACTACATGAACAATATATGCTATACTTTAATCACCAAGTTTTAAAATATATCAATTCTCAAAAGAAGCTAGGATATGGACATGTTAAATGTGTTGAATTTCTACCAGTATATTCTTTAATTCTTAAATATTGTGTTGGAGCTGAAAGTAAACATGTTGATATTTTGAATAAAGTCTCTATCCTTTTATGTATGATGTGGGTTAAGGTTACTAACTTTGATTATATAAAAGAATTATCTCACCTATAAAGACTTCATGAAATTTATTAAAGATTAAATAATGGCTTGTTTATCTTTAACAAAAAAATTACATCATTAAAGATGATAATTTATTTAAGAGTACACATCATTATTAAGAGATTTTCCAATTTTAGCATTATAAGTTGGGGGGCTGCTAGGCATTTTGGTAGAAATAAAACTTGTAATGGCTAGGATAGGTATTTTTGTCTAGGTTTGTATTCTTCTCTATTTTCACCTCTTCCATACAAGCTCACTTCCATTCCTCTATTGCATATTACTAAATAGATTGCTCCTGAGGCTATTTTTGTGATGATATTATGTAAACTACTAATGGTGGAATCCAAAGATATCCTATTCACTAGCAAGACAAACCTTTGGGATGATCATGGATTACTTTGCAGGAAGCATAAAATCTATATCCCGATTGGTTGACGAGTTTCAAATGATAAATTTGTCAGAGCTAAATTTCTCCAAGCCAAGCAAATTTAATGAAAATTTTAGTGTTTATTCTAGCCAAAGGTATCACACAAAGAAATGATATGCACACAATTTGTTTATTTTTTCTTTTTATCAGTGGTTATTATAATATTTTTAATGAAGAAAATGTCAGTGATAGAATGCAAAAGAGTATAAGGATGCTTAGGTGGAGGAGTGGTTTTAGACTTAGAGATAGAATGCAAAAGAGTATACGTGAAAAGGTTTGAGTAGCTTCATTTACAGATTAGATTAGAGAGAGTTGCCTTAGATGATTTGATTTGATCACATAAAATGTAAGCCTTCCGATGAATCAGTTAGGATAGTAGATGCATTAGATCCGACCTATATTAAGAAAGATAGAGGTAGACCTAAAAAGACTTGGTTTGAAAGCATTAGAAATGACATTTTTTTAATATATTTAAATGTGAATTTGACTCTTAAAAGGACAATGGATAAAAAAGTTTCATATGCCCGACCCGACCCCACGTAGTGATATAAAAACCTAACGTTGTTGTAGTCGTTAAGTTTAGGGGTACTAATTGCATTAAATTGATGAAATTATATGGCCCACAAATTCTTAGGCAAGGGAATGTGGCATCATGTTAAATGTGGTTTTTCCATTGGAAGAGGACTTGAGAGTTATTCCTTTGGGTGGTGGAGTTTGCATTGTTGTTGGTGGAGTTTGCATTGTTGTTGGAAGGTTTTGAATTATTGTTCCTGCTGGATTTTGTTTAGATTGTTATGTCGTGATGATAAGTTGGTTTTGGTTTTGTGAGGAGGAGAATTTGTTCTTGGTGTTTATTTTGAAAGGTGATGGTTCCTACTCTCATAGGTTGTGCACAGCAGCTCCTAATTTCTGAAAACAAATTCTGGCTCCAATGAATTGAGGTATTGTCAGGGTTTTTACTTTGACAGTGATCTATTGAAGTTGTGAAACAATCTTATCCTTATTCGGTGTATATAAGTGAAGGCTCTGAATATTTCAGGCAGGTTCATACACGTCAATTGTTTCGATGAGAAATTTGGGTTTTAATTTAAAAATTAAAGCTTAAACTTATGGGATTTTAATTTAAATGGACTAAATTAGTTTTATGCCAACCCTATCAATCAGCCTTAGGGATGACAAGTTTAAAAATAGGTGTTATGAGTTATATATTACTAACTTTCGCTTGAATAAAAATTCTTTCCAATTTCATCTTAAGAGTATAAGTTGGAAGTGTGATTTCTTAGAGTATCATTCGAGTCTAACTACCTAATTCCAGGGGAAATTATCTCCTTGTATCAACATGAGGCATGACTTTTCATATTCAAGTACTTCTATTTCTTGCTCTTATTTCATCCATATAGATTAATACTGACTTGTTAGTGCTATTAATTTTCTTCAAAATTGGAGACATTAAATATTCAATTTGCGGAATCAAATTACAATTGCTCGCCAACTATGATGCGCATGGCGACACGACACCACATGGCACGAGACACATCAATTATTGAAAATATAAGACAAACATGGATTATTCAAGGCATTACAATTTTTATATCTTAAAAAATAATGTATAGAAATTGAATAAACAAAATATTAAGAATAATTGAGAAATGACAAGTTATTTAACTAGGATATGTGCTTAAAATGATTAATATTAGGATGTCAATGCTCAGACGTGGATGTCGCGTCAAGCATTGAGAGGGGAGATGACAATACTGTTGAGAGTCCGACATCAGTTTTGTGCAATGGGCAAGCCAAGACGACATCGAGCATCAATGTCAACACAACATCGACCTCGAAGTTGAGAAGACGTTGGTTGTCGATGTTAAGATGATGTTAGACAAAGATGAGATGTTGTAACGATGTAGGGGGATGATTGTGGGGGTAGAAATTGATGTTATTGTGCACCAATATCAAACTATATTATACTTCAAATCTTGAGATGGTTTTAAAAAATTGATATTGTAACGACGTTAGACAGATGTCATCATGCGTTGTTATAAAATCCTAGTCATAACCTACTAGAGAGAAATGAAAATGAGAATGTTTGGGGAATGAGATATTGAGCATGTGCTGATTTGGGCTTTGGAGAGAAAATAATAAATTTTATTTTATTTTTTTAATAAATAAAATTTTGAAGTACAAGAATTTATATTTTAAAAATATTCATAAAATATTAAGCCAAGCATGTCGGACATGCGTAATCAATTCATTTTTAATACTTTTTGAAACCGACACATCTTTAACATGTCTGACACGTGTCAGAGGTATATCAAACGCGTGTCGTGCCCAATACGTGTCATACACTGACATTGCATACCTCTTTTGAGAAGAAGTGTCGGTGCATCATAACTAGTTAATTTTACATGTTTAAAATTTGTTGCCGAATTTCTCAAAATTTTTTGATTATTTTGTTATTAATTGATTTTAATATTTTAATTCTAGTATTACTAGTGTATATTAAAACAACACAAGCGATTGAATTATTTGGTGGCATGTAATATGTAAATTTTTTTTTGCAAGTGTTCATTCAGTGCATCATATAACTATGTTAGGAAACCTTAACATTAAGTTGTCTTGCATGAGTTGCCATACTTTTATTTTTTATTTTTTTTGCATGAGTTACCCTACTAACTCACTACATAGGTCAAATATGTCTACACAAAAAGAATTCCTATTCTCCAATCTCCACCTTGAGGAGTTTATGAGCACCCATCCCTCTCTTAAGATATACCAGAAGCATATTTTGGTGACACAAGGGAATGCGCAGAGGCTGAACCTATAATTTTAAGTTAAAATAAAAACCATACTCCTCACTCTAGTTATGAGTGCAAGAATCAACAAGCAAATGAAAAGGCGGAAAATTCACGGAAAAAATATGCTCCACCTTCTTTAAACAAATGACTGTGTACTTTTCATTCTTTTCTTTCCATTTATCGAATGAAATATACTTGTAGGGACTAGGGATCCTCAAAAGGAGGTTGCTTCAGGAGAAAAACAACTTGACGAAAATAAAGTATTCAACTTCAAAGATTAGCAGAAAGATGCGAATGCAACCTAACATAAAGGAGTATTCTTAGAATGACATCTCAGCTAACTTTAAATTTGCACTAAATAGATTCTGATAACACATTCATTTCATCTCATGATTTTGATAGACCGGTCCAGCCGGTCCACGCGGGACTGGCTCACGTTAAATGGGGCGGAACTCTTCCACCCCCTAGATGCGCCAAACGCAACCGCAAGCCACGGGAGCCGGTTTTGGAAGGAATTTTGGGAGGGAAATTGAATGTAGGGATTGTTAAGGGAATTCCTTTTGATTTGTATGCATTAAATAGTTTGTTTTCCTAGGGTTAGGGCATCTTGAATTTGGCTGAAATTTGAGATATCTTAGATTTAGGTTTTCTTTGGGCTCTAGCTGCGTCTAGAGATTTGGGAGAGATCGATCCTCCTCTCGAATAGAGGATCAATTGCATCTTGCTATTTTCCATTTTCCTTTCATCAAATAATACAAATTATCTACTGTTTTCGTGGTTTTGTGCGGACTCTTGTGAAGATTTCTCGCTATTTTCCGAAAATTGATAGGAAATACTTGAGATCTACAAGTGTTTCCTATTAGATTTTCATCAAACTTATTCCAACAATCATACAGCAATTTCAAGAATTATGTCAAAAGAAATAAGGCCAATAGAATTTTACTTTTATAGTAATTATAGTTTACCACAGAACCTCAAGCCCAAGGGAAATAACGAGATAATATCTATGCTTGCATATCTAAACAACACAACTCATTTTAGGGTAGTATATAGCAAGAAAAGGTCATTCCAATAAGAAAACGGTTTACATGAGCTTCAATATATTTACACTTTTCCATGTAAAAAACGGTGCATAGTAACGATTCCGTGCATACAGAATCAACTTCCAATATGAATAATCCACATGAAACACAATCTGAAGAGGTATAATGCACTATAGCTTCTTCCTATATATATATATATATATATATACTTCCTATGCATATATTAAAAAAAATCAAACATGAAGCTGCAGACTCAGACGAAAAAAGGCAGAATGGAGAAACTAACCAATAATCCTTCCTGGAGAGCCAATTGCTTTGCTGTTTCAACAGCTTCATCACTGGAGATCTGAAATGAAAAGCGTAATCATTAGCATTGAAACCTACAAGAAATTCTAACAAAGAAAGAAAGCAATAACTATTAACAAATTATCTATCATCGAATAAAAACCTTAACAAAAATTCAGGGATCAAAAGTTTCAAAGCGCATGATAATAAAATTACAGAACATAGAACTCATTCAAAGTAAAACTAAGGGTGAAATGTGAAGATGATGCGGGGTTTAAAATTATTGCAGATAAAGGCACAAGTATATGAGTATATGACGTTGTTGAGGAGGCAAATTATCCTCATCCCATATCTTTAGTCAATGAAACAGGAGAGGAGTGCAATAGTGGTAAGAAAACATGATAGGGGTATTAATACAACAATGAAGTGGTACTAAGATATAAGTTAGCAGTACAATTTTTAAGGGCTAGTAAAGGTTGTGAGTTGTGACAAGCCAGTAAGATAAGTTATTCATATTATTCACTATTCACAAGTGAAAAAATAAATAGTGAATAGTAACTGTGGATGTTTTGGGGTAATTTTGGTATCTTGCATAAAAAGTCTAGCTTATATATAAAGATCTCTTATGTAACGGAATCATATTTTTTGGCAGATGGAAAAAATATTTGAAGTTTTCCTCCACATAAATAGAGATGCCAAGTCAGATCTGGATTCCACCAATAAAATCATGAATGGCGTCAAATTATCTGTTCATGCTCTAGATTTTTTTTTTGTTTCATTTAATTGGTATCTTGTTTCACATTTGTTCTCCACCTACAAATCACATGATGATTCTGAATTGGGAAATTAGAATTCATCCTCTCGTGCAAACATCTAAATCTTTACAGAAAAAAGTGGTTTTGTTTATTGCAGCTCCATCTCAAGGAAAACTTCTTTTTTTTATCTTCTTGGTAATTTTTTTCCTCCCAAATATCTAATAATTATTTCCATAGATTGATTTATTTTCATTGTTTGAATCATTCAAGGCATCATAAAATCAATCAAACAGAACAATGAAATTTAAAAACTGTAGGACCAATTATACAAAAAAATTGATTCAAGCCAAGTCGGTCTGATTCAAATTAGGTTAACTCAGTGTCAACTTAAAAAGAATTCACAAAGTCAACAAATGAATTTGTCCCAAGCAAATAACTCAAGCAGGCAAGTACAACCTATAAAGTTGGCCCAAGCAAATCTTCAAGAAGATAACTTTCTCCACACGGGAAACTATTGATTGGCTACTTAGCTATTCACTTTTCAGACACCCTATGTCAGTGACCTCCTATTAGCTTGGCAGACGACTTCTTCAAGCCAAATATTCCAGCAAATTGAAAGTAATATTTCATTATGGGAAATAACACTACATGGCTCTTATATTTTTTCTTATTTTTTGTATAGTCATATATATAGTTAATGCTATAACACTCAAGCCTCAACTCAAATCTATAAATAACAGGTCAACGAATGAGCGCAATTTTTGCAAATTTCTGTACATAAGCTTATTTTACAAAACTTAAAGCTTCTTAAAAAAATTTTCAATAAATTATATTTTAAAAAAATTATGAAATATTTAAGACACGTGTCCGATTTATATTTAATATTTTTTTAACATACACATTTTCAGCATGTTGAACACGTGTTGGAGATATGTCAAATGTGTGTAATGTTGGATATATGTCGAATACTGCACGTCTCTTTGAGGAGAAGTGTCGGTGCATCATAAGATAGCAATATGAGCATTGATAATGTTCAAACCTAACAAAATAGCCCCAGTACAAACAAAGATATCTGATAATTTATATATTAATATGTCCAAATTTCTCAGTGTATTATTAATAAATCCAATTCTGGTTCCTTCTCAACTCCCACTCAGGGACAAGCACATCCATGTACAACACATCAGTCGAAATGTTAATGAGAAAAGTGAATCAGGACACAAACCTCTACAATTTCATCAACTACGTCAAGGTCTAAAATACTGGGAACAAAACCTGCTCCGATGCCCTGAATCTTGTGTGGACCTGAAAGATTAAAATGAAAAAGAGAATCGAGGAAGAATGGGAGAACAACCATAATAAGTGTTAGTTTTCCAGCCGATACCTGGTTTTCCGCCTGAGAGTATGTTGCTTTCGGCAGGTTCAATGCCAATAACCTAACAAAGAAGAATGTAAGAAACGAATTATCTGATATCAGAATTGACTTTTGCAAGCACTAATACTTTTATATTAGGGTTTTTGTTCTTCAAGAATCGTCCAACACCAGAAATGGTTCCACCAGTTCCAATTCCAGAAACAAATATATCAACCTTCCCATTTGTATCTTCCCAGATTTCCGGACCAGTAGTCTCATAGTGTATCTGCAGGGATTACAGTTCAGGAAATTTCACACAATCAAAAGGACCATCAGCTAAGGATTCAGTTTGCACTGGCTAAATATTACCTTCGGATTTGCGGGGTTATCAAATTGCTGTAGCATATAAGAGTTGGGCGTTTTCTTCAAAATCTCTTCAGCCTTTTGAACAGCTCCCTTCATTCCCTTGGCAGCATCTGTAAGAACAAGTTCTGCTCCAAAAGCTTTTAGCAAAACTCGCCTTTCAATGCTCATGGATGCAGGCATTGTTAAAATCAGTTTGTATCCTTTCGAAGCAGCAATAAAGGCAAGACCAATGCCAGTGTTCCCACTTGTTGGTTCCACTAATATACTCTACACAAAATAAGGCAAATAAAATGGCTGTCAGCTTTTACACTGAACAAGTTAAAATAAGCAAAAACAAGTGAAGAACGACCTGTAATAACACAACTATAAAATATTAACACTAAGAAAAATGAATCATCATCATGATAAGCCATATCCCACCTACTTGGGGGTCAGAATTTTCTTTCTGTTGAAAACGCCTAAATAAGCACTCTCTTAACTATTGTAACATTGTATATTTAACAGATAGAAGCAAAAAAAGGAAGAAGAAAAAAGTAGTAAAGAAAGAGATCAAAAAGTTAATTATAGTGATAAGGCAGGGTGGGAAAGAGAGAAAGAGAGAGAGAAGAAGAAGAAGAAGAAGAAAGACTGGCTTAGAGCTGTGTGCATGCGTTTTTGAGTGTGTATGAGAGAGAGAGAGATCAAATTGGATCATTTTGAAGATTGAAAACATATGTTAGACCGGTCCAATGGACCGGTACACGCGGGACCGGCCCAGCTACACGAGGCGGAAGTTCCGCCTCCCGCACGCCCGCCGGGATCAAACAGGGCCGAATAGGAAGGTTTTTGAATGGATTTTAGGAGGGAAATTGATTGTAGGGACTGTTTAGGGAATTCCTTTTGATTTGTATGCATTAAATAGTTGATTTTTCTAAGGTTTGAGTATCTTGAATTTGGCTGAAATTTGAGATCTCGTAGATTTAGGTTTTCTTTGGGCTCTTGGCGTTGCCAGAGATTTGGGAGAGAACGATCCTCCTCTCGAATTGAGGATCAATTGTATCTTGCTATTTTATTCTTCTACTAGTAAAATACAAGCTGTTCTTCCAATTTTCTCTCAGCTTTTCCCTGTTTTTCCCACTGTTTTGCTGTTTTTCCTGCTGTGAACAGCCGTTTGCATCGAGATTTGTTGTAGAAGTGATTTGGAAATACTTGAAATCAAGTATTTCCTATCAACATAGAATACCAATGCAAGTAGATTCATGTCAACAGGTATATGTGCCAACTGTGCTGCACCTTTTGAACAGGAAAGGATAACTTGAAAGAGAAATTGCATAACGCTAGCAATGAATTGCAGGATTGAAAATACGTAAATGTCAAGCAGCACTTAGGGCCTCTTAGTAATTCTATCCCTCTATAAAAGAATACATCAAAAGAAAGAGAAGACATGCCTAGAAAAGATACAGCCAATATTAAATTACCTTTCCAGGAGTTATAAGCCCCTTTTGTTCTGCATCAGCTATCATACTTTGACCAATCCTGAAGACAGAACCAAACAACTTACCTAGGTCGCTAAGATGTGTTTTCATTTCAAAGAAAGCAAGCAAGGCAATAAATACATACCTATCCTTCACACTGCAACATGGCTCCATAATCTCAAGCTTCGCAGCAATATTCGCAACACATCCTTTTACAATATTATTAAGGTACACCATAGGTGTTTTACCAATAAGCTGAAAGAGTGAAAGTAATAAATACTGTTGAGGAAAGTAAAGTGTTGAAAAAACATTCACGAGAAAAAAAAAATGGTAAACTGTATCTCTAACTTGAGGGGCTATCATAGGCATAGGTGCAAAATTCACTATAAAAAAAGCTGCGCTGAAGAATCACTCGAACAATCAAGCCCGTTAAGGAGAGCTACATATAACCACATGCAACACACATGCAAAGTTGCAAACTATCATAATAGAGAAGAGCTTTGGTTGGTTTGGAGAAGGGGTCCATTCAAATCAAAATTTTAAAAGTTGTGCTAAGCAATACTTGTTTATATCCAATGAAGGACTCCTGCAACTAAACAAGGGCAAATCAATAATTTTCTTGACAACAATTCTTTTTCCAATCATGTCTTTGATTTACAGAGGCAAGGGAAAAAGGGTATGAATGGTCGAAATTTGAAGGAGTCGAGTGGCAGGAGATCAAAGTAGAGTGGTAAGGGATTCGAGATAAGATTACGTGGTAAAAGAAAATCGAAAAGCAGTGCATAGGGAAAATCACAACGGCGGTGTAGCTGGCAAAAAGATGTCATAAATTCAGTGATGAAAAAAATGTCATGCACATTCAATAGAGTCAAGTAAACATAAATCATGAAGATAAATCTTCCTCCTTAATACCCACTCTTCTTACATTTCATATTTCAATGTGAAGTGCCAGAGCGGCCATAGGCCTGTAGATGGAACAAGCATTGCGCTACCAGCATGCTACAAACAAAAGCATCAGAGTAAAAGCTTAATTAAAGGCAAGAAAATATATAGCCCAGAAAATAAATAAAAACTAATTTTCTTTTTTAATGAAAATTAGTGAAATTTTAATGAAATATATTAAATTCAAAACATTAATATTCTTGAATTCCTTGTATTTTGTAACTAATTCTTCAATTTTGGTCAATTTATAAGTATTTTAATAAAAAATTAAATATTTCAGAAATTGTGCCAAGTTAGAATATTTGACTTAGCGCAATGCACATGCACCCCATCAATGATATACACCAGTGTCTTTGTTGTATAGTATGGAGTCCCTTGGAGGTATTGTGGAGGAAAATAATAGAATGACTAACATTAGCACCCACTAAATGGTATGCATCTAAGGGATACTTAAGCTAGTATTATAATAGTACTTTTAATGCTAAATCAGCTTATATTGGCGTCTTAAATGCTAAGCATGAAAGCTAAATTAATATTATAATATGTTACTTGATCATGAATTATCTATGATTCATTAATTAGCAATAATCCTCATTCAAAATAAGTTAATTAAGAATTGAACCAAATTATTGCATTATTTAGCCAACATTAATGATTCATTAGTAACCTATCCATTCCGTATTTAAATCACTTTTAACCTTTATTTTCATTTTATGCAAATTTTTTTATTTTTAAGCCTTACGGCTCGCCTCACGAAAGAAAAACACCTCAATACCCAATTGCATAAACCTTGCCTACACCATTTCTAATATGACTCCTACCCTAATACCATAATTTAAATCCTAAATTATCAATCTCCTTAACATTCTCTCCAACCAATTAAGTTTCTAAAATGCATAGAATATTAATCTTCCTATGAATCACAATATATGTAAGAGAACTTATATTCCAAGATCATATCCAAATCCTAGTTTCGTGGACTAGCTTCTTATAATCACAACAACAACAACAACATCCAACCTTTGTCCCACTACATGGGGTCGGCTAAATGAATCCTTTTTCGCCATTGTGTCCGGTTAAAAGTCAAATTCTCATTTAAATCTAATAAAGAAAGATCATTTCTAATATTTTCTAACGAAGTCTTTTTAGGTCTACCTCTACATTTCTTAACATAAGTCAAATCTACTACCTCAACTTTCCTAACTGGGTCATCAGAAGTCCTCCATTTAATGTGACCAAATCATCTAAGGCGACTCTCTCTAATCTTATCTTCCACTGGAGCTACTCCAACCTTTTCACGTATAGCTTCTTATCATCCACTACTAAAAAATAATTGGCGACATAATTATCAAGAAAATAACCTAATTTTTAGTTTACATCGATTGCCTAATAGTATTTTAATCATTAATTCTATTAGAATATTAATTAATCAATAACCATACATTTAATTATTTATCGGAAAAATATGCAATAACAATAAAGCCCTTCCATCCCAATATTCTTTCCTTTGTTCCAAATACCTAGCATCAGCATTCCTTCCTTCAATCTTACGCTTCCAACCTTCCGGATGCAACTGTCCCGCTCGGTATATAATGACAAAGTGCCTCTAAAAAAATTTTCTTGTGCTCATAAAAAACAACTGAGAATTCCAAAATCTATTGCATCTCAAAATTTAAGCTTGGTAATTAGAAGTTACTAAGGAATAAACGGGTCTTGCACCTGTGTGACATCCTCGGCGATATTAAGACCCTCTATCTCCGTCACTGGCTTCACGGAGACGGCCCTGCAAAGGACAGGGGAGTAGGAAGACCGCAAAGTGACAGAAATGCTCCCTACGATCCCGCCTCGAGTTTTGAAAGAGCAAATAGAGGAGGTGACGCCGGCGGCCGAATGGCTCGACTGGAATCGATTGTCGATCGCTGATAGAAGATAAGAAGCGAAAGGAGTGGCCGCCATGATCGAGAGAGACGCCATTGGTGGGGCTTCCTTCGACCGCACCTCAAACGCTTCGCTCTTCCCTCAGTGGAGTTGGGAGGACGACGGAGAGGGATGCCTGACTCTTCTTAGCCCCTAGATTGCCTTATTTTATATCCAAAGCATTATTTACCTAAATTCTCCAATCATATTGGATTACCGAGTCGGCGATTCAAGGTCTTCGTCAACTGCGAATGTATTTAGACAGGTTTATAGTAAATGTTAAAGAGAAAAAATTTTATTTTTTAATTGAAAAGAAAATTATGAATAAAAAAGAAAGAAATAAGATTACTTACATAATGAAGCATTTTTTTCACTTTTTTTAATTATGTGAAATTATTTATTTACAATTTTTTTTGTTAAATTGACTAAAAGTAGAAATGTATTATAGAAATAATACAAATTAATCTATTTACTCATATGCTAAAATAAAATCAATTTTTTCAACCCTAACCCCACATCATCAACATTTTTGCCTTAGTTTTCATAAGAAATTATTCTATTTTCATATATTTTTAATAATTTATATAAGTATTAAATATAATTTGAACATGAATTTATTAAATGAGCACAAATATCTAGTTCTAGATTAGGGAGCTTATCAATGGATAATAATATTGAATATGCACATTAATTGATTGATGATCTTTGAACAGAAAAACAATTCACAATAAGATAATATTGTCTTAGAAATGGATGTAGCTGTACAACTCCTTCCCTCCACCCTCTCTTTGTGTATTCAAGACAGCACCATACAAATTTATTATTTCTAAGGCTTTCTACATCTAAAAGAAAATCCACAAAAAAAAAAAAAAAAATTCAAGCAAATCTTAATTTCATATATAATCCCTATTTGTTATTCTACTTATATATCATCAAAAAATTATGTTGATCGGGCATGAATCTCGAAGCAAAATCATGTTGGAAGCTTCAAATTTTAAATTAGAAGCTATATGAACTCCGATTTCAATAAACTTATAGTTGAATTGAGTGTCTCAAAAATACGAACCCAACGACACTAAATTCGACTCAATCCTGGCTCAAATGAGTCTAAATCAAGGACCCGAAGCACTATTGGAAGATTCACCACAATTTGGATTACCAAATGGTTTCCAAACATGATATACTTATAGGCGAATCGAGCGGCTCGACAAGACGAATCCTACGAGCCTAAGATCGCCGAATTCTAATATCATTAAGACATTCAAATGCCCAATAAATTGTATGCAATCAAGTGATTCAACATCGGCTGCCCATTCAAACCACTCCTAATTTAACTCTGATCTTCATTTTATTTACTGGCCATGCCACAATAAAAAAACTATAAATAGATCCTTCATTTCTCATAGAAAGAGACACCGAAGGGAGGGGAAGAATGATGCCCAAGCAAGAAGAGAAGAGAAGGAAGTAAGGAAGAGAATGAAGAGACTCCTCCTCAACCACCGCCGATCTTTCACCAGGTAGCCTACCGACGCCAGAGTTCTACCCGAATGCCATCTAACGACGAAGTTCTTCCCAGCCATCGACTGACGTCAAACTTCTACTAGATGTCGTACCTCCGCTTATCGTCAGATTTCTACCAAACACTGGACTTCTACTTAACACCGGAGTTCTGCCCGTTGTCGGACTTTCGTCGAAGTTCTATCCGATGCCAAATTTCTGTCGACCGATAGACTTATATCGAACACTGGACTTTCACCCGTCGTCGGATTCCTATCAGACATCGGACTTCCGACCCATCACCGGATTCCTACCAAATGCTGGACTTTTGCCCATTGCTGGATTCCTATCGGACACCAGACTTCCGTCACCGAAAATCCGTCTGACTTCTACTCCTGACCGGACTTCTGCCTGTCTCCAGACATTCATCGGACTTTTATCTGACGCTGGATTTTTACCTGACGTCATCCTTCTGACCTCTGTCGCCAGACAACGGTTTTTTATGACCTCCGTCTCCCGCCGACTACGATCCTTCCGACGTACGTTGCCCACCAACTAAAGTCCTTTCAACTTACGTTGCCCACCGACTACGGTCCTTCCGACCAACAAATACATCAATAGTGATTCTTTGTATTCCCACCATGTAATGTACTCTATTAAAGTCTTCCCCCAAGGATGAGCCTCATTTGTAATCAGCTGCAAATACTAGTGGATTCATTCAAACTGGGCTAGGCCCCGTGGGTTTTCCCCATTTTCAGGGATTTTCCACATAAAATCTTGGTGTCTCTTGTGAATGATGCACCATCTCTTTTTATCTGATTGTGGGTTGGATCTCCATACAACGCTAAGACGCTAAACTTTATATTTCTCTACTGTCGCGAATACTCCATGACGCAACACTACTATTTGAGCAGAACTATTGCCAAAACATCCAAAGGGTACTAATAATTTAAAGATTGATCATTTTTTACCATTGATTTGACAAATAAGATGCAACAACCATCAAACCCTAATTAAGGTAAAACAATCCCAAAGAAAGCTCAACCTAAACCTTTTGATCATAGGTCAAAATCATCCAATAATATATTGATGAATAACATGCATTTTATAGGTCAAAATGTCTTGGTGGAATCTCTCCTACTCATCTTGCGTAGGTTAATAAGTTTATAGGGTAAAGCTCCATTCTTTCAACCTTAGGTATGTTTAAATCATTGGAAAATTTTTCACAACCCTCCCCATCATGAACTAAGGTTGATAATTTGGGGAGTTTAGTTATACTATAAAATGAATATCCATGAATTTAACTCATTAAATAAAAAAAGATTATTTATTTGATCTACCCTATAAAAAAACATTAAAAAACTCACTAATTTGATAAAATAAAAAAAAAAAAAAAAAAAAGATTTGTTAGATTCTTAGAAACTTGTTATACATCAAGGTAATGGAGGTTTAAATTATACTTTTTAGTGGATATTTGCATAAAAGATTTGATCTTTAAAAAAATAATACAATTTATAAACTAATAAATCATTATATGATCTTAAATAAATTCAAAAAAAAAATATGAAATTTTGAAAAGTAATTATGCACCATGATTTTTTTCAACAATAAAGTAGATTAGTTTGATTTTGTTGGAAGGATTGCTAATAAATTCATTATACTTTGCCTAAATATAAATAATTTTTTTTTTCTTTTTTTATATTGCTTTAGAATTTATTTTTGAAACAAAAAGTTATTATCATGTAAGTTCAAAATGAGATATTTGAAAAAAAAAAGATGCTATAATCCTTGGTTTTATAATAATATAGCTTGGTTTTATAATAATATAGCTTGGTTTTATAACAATAATAATGATGATGATTAATATATCATCAAAAATTATCTTGATAGGACACAAATCTCTAGAAAAAATCAAGTTGGAAACTTATAAAATTAAATTTTGGAATCATATGAACTCCAATTTCAGCAAACTTACAGTCGAACTGAACGTCACATAAATACGAACCCAACGACACCAAATTTGACTCAATCTGAGCCCAACTAGGTCTAAATCGAAGACTCAAAGCATCTTTGGAAGGTTCAAACCATAATTTGGATTACCAAACGTTACATGCTTATAGTTGAATCGAGCGGCTTGATGAGATGAATCTAACGAGCCCAAGATCGCTGAATTCTATTATCACTAAGGCACTCAAATACTCCATAAAAGGTTCATGATGAAAAGAATCAATATCGATCGTCCATTCAAACCACTCCCAACATGCCCATGATCTTCTCCTAATTTACTGGTCATGCTACTCTTAGAAAAAATATAAATAGACCCCTCATCCCTCATGAAAATGTGTCCAATCAAGGAGGAAGAGATGAGATGATAAGAAGAGAAATCGGAACCAAGCTCCTCAACCATCTGGCCACTGACCGTCGTCCGATTTTCACCCAGCCAATGACTGATGTCGGACTTACACAGGTCCGTTAACTGACATCAGACTTCTGCCCGACAACTGACTGACACCAAACTCACACCAAACCACCAGACTCCGAACCTCTGCTTGGCCACCAACTGACGATGGACTTCCACCCGACTACCAACTAATGCCAGATCTCTGCTCGACCACCAAATAACGTTAAACTTCTGCTTAGCCACCGACTACGGTCCTTCTGAGCTCCATTGCTAGACAACGATATTTTTTACAACTATCGCTTGCCGATTATGGTCCTTCCGACCTCCGTTTCCAGATTAAGGTCATTCCAATTTCCATTATCAAACAACGATCTTTCTGACTACTGTCGCCAGCCAACTATGATCCTGCCGAACAAACAACATATTAATACTGATTCTTCCTATTTCCATCAGGTAATGCATTCTATATTATGTATATTTGTTATATCAAGCCAAGACCTTCCCTCCAATGAAGAGCATTATTTGTAATCAACTGCAAATACTATTGGATTCATTCAAACTCAGTTAAGCCCCGTGGTTCTTCCCATTTTTAGAATTTTCCGCGTAAAAATCTTTGTGCTCTTATAAACATTACACCCTCTCTTTTTGTCTGATTGTGTGATGGATCTTCGTACAAAGCTAAGAGATTAAACATTATATTTCTCTACCGCCACGAATACTCCAGGACACAACAATGATGATGATAATGATAGTAATAAATTTAATCATTGTTAATGGACTGATGTTATTGATTCAAATATTTTCTTATGGATACAAGTCCTCACAATTTATTACTTATCTATCTCGTATTGAAATTGAAAGAGAATATCCTTAATGTTTTCTAAACATTTCCTATAATAGGAGGCAATAATAGATAATTAGGGGTGACATAAATTTGATCAATTAGTTCAAATGATATTTAATATCAATATCAAATTAATCAACACAAATTGAATGCTCTAATTCAAATCTCCAAAAAAATCAATCTCAGAATAAATTTGATTTTTTATAAATTCAAATTTTTAGCCTTTTTGCAGTCGGTCGAATTTACACAAAAATCCTGCAAAAAGACACAAATTCCAAATCTCACCAAATTACAGTAGAATATCTATAACATCAATACAAGACTATTATCCTATAGAAACCAAATCAAATCAAGTCCTGATATTTTTCTGTTCGATTAAAATCGCGTAGAATCAATTCCGACCGATAAAATCATCGTAGAAAATAGTCAAATCGTGTACAATATTCATATCTATAACATACTAAAAGTTGTGCGGTGAAAGTCGTGTCAATACAAAATCAGGTCAAAAGTTCGACTACAAAAACACAAAACAGTGCACAACTCGATCGAAATACAAAATCTTCGAAAACAGAAATAGGGTTCGGAGTCCTTACAGCGAGACAAACAAATCTTCTAACAGCGTCGTCGGACGAAAAGCGCTCCGTGGCCTCCAAAACCAAGCTTCCTTCTTCTCTTTCCTTCTCTTTCTCTCTCCTGCCTTCTCCTTCTCTCTCCAAAATGAATCCAAAATATCTCAAATCCGATATTTATTAACACTGATCGTCCTGGACGATCCAAATTTCGTCCTGGTACGATGGGTTCTCTGGACAAATTTCGTACAGACGAAATCCAAATTCGTCCCGGGCGACTTGCTCTCTGGACAGATTTCGTACAGACGGATCGTCCCGACTGCTCCAGGTTCGTACAGACGAAAATGGCAGATTTCTTCACAAATTTCTTCAGTTCGTTCAGTACTAAACCCAGTTCGTACAGACGAACTGCACTAAAAAAAACAGCTTTTTGAAGGGTTTTACAGTTCTACTGAAGGCCCGACATACAGGCCCAACGTTCTGCTGAAGGCCCGACGTTCTGCTGAGGGCCCAACGTTCTGCTCAAGGCTTGTCGTTCAGGCCTGACGTCTTCATCTGAGGCCCTCATCTTCGCCAGAGGCCTTCACCTTCGCCAGAGGCCCTCACCTTTGCTAGAGGCTCTTGTCTTTGCCAGATCATCATTAAAGGCCGTGTGCTCCACCAGAATATCACATGAGGCCCAGACTTCTGCCGGACCACTAATCTGATGCCCACAGTTCTCCCAGAATACTACCGACTATGGTCCTTTCGACCTCCGTCGCCTACTACGGTCTGTCCGGCCTCCATCAACAAACAACGGTCTTTCTGACCCCTGTTTCCTGCCGACTACGGTCCTTCTAACCAAACAAACATGTATATGTAACTCCTACCATGTAATACAATCTATATGATGTATATTTGCTACATCAATACAAGGCCTTCTCCAAAGGAAGGGCCTCATTTGTAATCGACTGCAAATACTAGTGGATTCATTCAAATTGGGCTAGACCCCGTGGTTTTTTCCCCTTTTCAGGGGTTTTCCACGTAAAACTCTGATGTCTCTTATGAATGTTTCAACCCCTCTCTTATCTACTTGTGTGCTGGATCTTCGTACAATGCTAAGACGTTAAACCATATATTTCTCTACCGCCATGAATATTCCAGGACGCAGCAATAATGGTCAATATAAATAATATTTACTTCACATGTTAAAATTATTAAATTTAACAAATATTACCTTATATTTTCTTGATGTATGGCTTAAAATTAAATTTGTTATTAAACTTAATTAAATTTTGACTCATTTAAAATAAAATCGAACTGATCAAACAAAAATTCAAATCGGCTAATTTTGTAGGTGAAAGCAAACTACTCAGCCGGCCCGTAAGACGCCGGTCTCAATTCAATGTTAATTTTTTGGTCCCCTTTTGTTTAACGCCAAATGTTTTTTCCAACCCTTTGCACTCAACCACCACGTGGCTCACCCACGTTCCTCCCATCTCTTCCACGAGGGTTTCGGGCGACCCATCGTTCCGTTGTAGAAATCAGCAAAAATTACCTGGAAAAGTGACCTCGAAATCTAACTCTCTCATCTCATCCACAAACCCGCCGCTAGTTGACAGCTCGCCGGACCTCAGCGATGGAGGTAGCCAGCGCTACACCAAAGAACCCTAGGCGTGCCCGGATCGCCCGCCGCGATCTAAACTCCCAGGTTCGAATTCGATCTTCCTCGCCTAGTCCTTCGTACTCTAATTGTTTATCCGATTGGCGTTTTTTTTGCCATGACCCCGATTCTAGGGTTTTAACGCGTGGCTTATTAGCCGTGATTCAGGAATTATCAGGAGATGCCACCATGGAGGAATCCGGTGACATGGATGGAATGGATGAAGGTGATGCGGATGCCGACAGCGGCGACGATTCCGGTTTTGAAGGCGTGCCGGAGGTTGGAATGGTGTTCAAAACCCACCATGAAGTTTCCAAATTCTACAAGAAGTATGCTCGTCGAGTAGGATTCGGAGTGTCTGTGAGAAGGTCGTCCTTTACAAAAGAAGGTCATTGCTTGTATCTTGAACTTATGTGTTGTAAGGGCGGCAGGAAGCGCCCCGAGCCTAAGTTCAGGAAGAGGACAACTGCGACAACCAATTGCCCGGCGAGGATCCGGGTGAAGCTATGGGGAGATGGGCTGCTCCATTTGGAGCTTGCAAGCCTTGATCACAACCATCCGGTGAGCCCGTCGATGGCTCGGTTCTTGAATTGCTATAAGCATTTGTCAGGGTTTTCAAAGAAGCGTGCCTTGCGCAATGATGAAGGAGATGTGGTTCATATTGAGGAGGAGCAGTCCCAAGCACAAGCACCTCTTGATAAATTAGGCATCTTGGAGGAGTTGCTCTTTAGTGAGAGTGGATGCCGGAGCTTTGTAGAACGAGGAAGGTTGAAGTTTGGTGAAGGAGATGCTGAAGATCTTCGATTGTTCTTCACCCGAATGCAGGCGAAGAACTCAAATTTCTTTAATGTCATTGATTTGGACAAGGAGGGATGTGTAAGAAATGTGTTATGGGCTGATGCAAGGTCCAGAGCAGCATATCAGTATTATAATGATGTTGTTGCACTTGATACATCTTATGTGATAAATAAATATGATTTGCCACTTGCAACCTTTGTAGGAGTTAACCACCATGGTCAGCCTGTGCTTTTGGGTTGTGCTTTGCTTGCGGATGAAACAGCTGAAACTTATATTTGGTTGCTGAAGGCATGGATTGCTTGCATGTTGGGTCATCTTCCCAAAGCCATAATCACCGATCAGTGTAAAAGCATTCAGATTGCAGTGTCTGAAGTTCTTCCTGGAGTTCGTCACCGACTTTGTTTGTGGCAGGTCATGAAGAAAGCATCAGAAAAATTGGGTGGGCTGGCAGAGTATAGAGTGATCCATAAGGTAATGCAGAAGGCGGTTTATGATTCGTTAAGGGTTGATGAGTTTGAGGAGGAATGGCTGAAGATGATTGAGTTTTATGGGCTTCAAGGAAATGAGTGGTTGAGGCTATTGTATGAATGCAGGCATTGCTGGGCTCCTGTCTATCTGAAGGATGCATTTTGGGCAGGAATGTCTACTACCCAGCGGAATGAGTCCTTTAGTACCTTTTTTGATGGATATGTTGATGCTAAGACTTCTCTGAAACTTTTCCTTAGCAAATATGAAATGGCTTTGCAAAGTAAGTATGAGAAGGAAGCCCAAGCTGACTTTGAAACATTCCATAAGCGGCGGCCCTCCGTATCAAAATTTTACATGGAAGAGCAACTTTCTAAGGTCTACACCCTCAACATGTTTAAGAAATTCCAGGATGAGATAGAAGCTATCATGTATTGCCATGCTTCACTTATTAAAATAGAGGGAACAATATCAACTTTTGATGTAAAGGAGTGTATTTTCCTTGAAGATGGAAAGAGGACAATGAATAGGAATCATGGTGTTCTCTATAATTCTGAAGAGAAGGATGTTCAGTGCATTTGTGGTTCTTTTCAGTTTAGAGGAATTTTGTGTCGCCATGCTTTGTCTGTCTTTAAGTTACAGCAAGTGCATGAGATTCCCTCTCAGTATGTTCTTGATAGGTGGAAGAAGGACTTCAAGCTCTTGCATGTTTTGAACCGGTCTTCAGATGATGTGGTTGCTAACAATAGGATTGACCGTTATGATTACTTGTCAATGCGGTGCCTTCAACTGGTTGAGGTTGGAATTTTATCTGACAAATACCAACTTGCTCTGAAGTTGATTAGAGAAGTGGAGAAGTTTCTTCTAAGTGATAGTACATATGAAGAGACACAGCCAAAGATTGTGTCTCGTGTTAATAATAAACCAACTAAGCCAGATGGCATCAACACCAAAAGCTTGGGAAATAATATTCCCTTGGAAATTGGAAATGAAGAGAGACGAAGGAGAGGACGACTGCCACAGGTGAAAGATTCAGAGGTAGGTCTTGCGTTCTTTTAAGTTATGCACTGCTCAATTTAAGAGTATAAACTAGTAAATGTGACTCCTTTTTTCCCTTGTCACACTATACCATTTCTGTATGGTCAGGCTCCTTTTAGTACATAAGAGATGCGTAATCAAAGCAATGAATTTTAAATGGGAAATTTACATACATACCATTTTATTTCATGCTATTTACATATCTAACATCCAAAACATTAATATTATATACCTACCACCGGCTGTATCATGTGATGGATAACGGGCTGCGGAATGTGAGATTATTAGTGGAGCTTTGATATATTGACTGTCAAATGGAAGAATCCGGCATAAGGAGGGTATTCAGTTTTTAATTTGGTTTTGGCTTATTGGTTTAGGTTTTTGGTTTGTTTCAAGTAGGGTTTTGGGAATTTTAGAGCATATGGTCTAGGGTTCATAAGGGAATAAGTCATTCAAAATGAGGAGAAGAAGATGATGCCATGATCAGAGAACTCAGCATAAAAAGATAATCTTGATAAAAAGCTCCTTGAATTCATGAATTTTGTCTTTGATAATAGTTTACGATGAGCAAGCTGTGGAAGATGTGATTAAAGCACAACTTTAATAGTTTGATTGTTGAAAGGGAAGAATCCCATCTAGAGGAATAAAGGGACGAATCCAATGTGGGGAAAGAAATGTGAAGTGAAAGACACTAAAGTTGAGAAATTACAAAAATGAATGCTTTCAGGGAGTGAGAAAAAAACAAGGTGAGGAAGAGGAAGAATTAGCACACCACTAGGAGCAAGAGGGAGGAATCGATCACAGAACTGACGCCCAATGAAAGCTCTTTATTACATGGTTAACCACAGAGGTGGAATCAACCTTAATTTTCAGGGGAAGGGGCAAACTTATAAGTAACTGTTAGGGGTCTAAGGAGCAGCACCCCTGACGGGATTCAACCTATCAGGACTGATAACTAAGGAATAATGTGGATGATTTGACATAAGAGTGACATGAAGTAACATTGAAAAACATATTGACTCATAACTAATGAATGGATGTGGATGACTTGACAAACTCGCCATATATTAGCATTTAGCAACAAAGTGGAAATGCAATCGAGTATCAATTAGCTTGTTTCTTTTTAAATATATATTTTAGGGTCCTTTGGTTTTAGATTGTGGTTTATCCACTGAACTATTTTACTGCTTGTATTTATGTAAATTGTATCAAATGCAGGATGGAGTCAACTCAACTGTGTTGCCTCCGGCAAATCATTATGCAGCACAAGTGAGTCCTCAGCAATTTATTGGCAATCAAACAGCACTGAGACCAAGTGTTGTCTACATGTTTCCGGTTTGTGATTTGATTTTTGTGTAACATATTTGTATTACATAATTTTCTCGCCCTTGTTATATTATAACATAGGTTTCGTTTGGGACAGCTTTCATATTGCTTCTTAAAACAACTTCTTAGTATAAAAATAAAAAATTTTATAGGAATGTGCTTTAAGAAGCAGAAAGAAAGCCGTCCCAGATTTACGGTGGTAAGCAATAAGATCTTCAATCATGTTTATTCGCTTTTGCATATATCAACTATTCTAAACAATTGACTCTCTATGAATTTAGGTATCTGTGGCCATATATAATACAACATTAACTGTGAGAATTTGTATGACAGGGAGGCTTTAATCCACAAAACTTTGGAAATGGGGCCATGATGCCATGGATGTATCCGCAAATGTATCAGGTACAACTTTTGATTTTCTTCCTATCATTTATAACAGCTTTTAAGCTTGGAATGCTTTTCCAAGCACTTATTCAATAGCTAATATTCTGCTAAATTTGATTGTTAAAATTAACGTTTAGGGTTCTCAACCCCCTGGAACAACCCCTGAACAAGCTCGTAAGAGGCGGAAGGTAGTTCGCCGATTAAAGGCAATACAGGCAGCTAATAACCCTAGTGATCCTCCTGCTCCTCCGTCAGTGTTATAGAATGGGTTCTACGTTGTAAAAATGCCTTCTAGGCATGGAGTAGTCCCTTTTAATTTGTATATATACAACTCATCAATGAATCTTTCTACATCCTGATATTTTAAGCTCTTATGAGGAACTTGAATTGATTACAGGTAATCTAACCAACTTTATTCCAGTATGTTAGATTAGCAATGACTGTGCTCAAGCATTTTGTTTTATTAGTTTGTTGATTTGTTGTATCTATAATCAAAACGGTCATATATTTTGTATTAGATATTGGCCTTGGATCCTGAACAACTAACACCAATCTTCAACTAGATTGTTCTTGATTAGAAGTGTCACTTGCAGGAATTAGCTATTAATAGTCAGAAACTTCACTAAACATATTGAAGTGGATTACCACTTTATTAGAGACTGTATTTAAAATCATCAAATAATTGTGCATCATATAATTACTCAGGATTAAGTAGCGGATATCTTTACTAAATTCATACCAATCTCTCGGTTTCGCACTCTTTCTAGCAAACTGACTTAGGGGTGCAAACGAGTCGAGTCGAACTCAAGTTGGGGAGTGTTCGAGTCGAGCTCAAATGTCAAATACTGAGCTCGAGCTCAACTAATTCCAACGTAAACAAATTCGAGCTGCTTGTTGAGCCGCATTTCGAGCCTCTCGTGTAGTTTGTTTCGGCTTCATGCGTGCAATTTTTTAAAAGTTAAAATGAGAGAGAGAGAGTGCAATTTTTTAAAAGTTAAAATGAGAGAGAGAGAGATGTTTTTTAAAAATTAAAACTGCATAAAGATAGAGAGAGGGGCAAACGAATGAAATTCATTTTGAATTTTTCAAATATATGATGGCAGAAATTTAAGTATGATTTATACAGCATTTAGTACTATTTATTTTTTTAAATATTCGGATTTCATAACTGCGAGCCCGCTCGCAAGCTCTCAAGCCTAATCTAATGAAGCTTGAACTCGAGTCGGCTTGACTGGTGAGCTCGATAAGCTCGGCTTGCGAGCCCATAAACAAGTCAAGCTCGAGCTAGCTTGCGAGCTGGCTCGGCTCACTTACACCCCTAAACTGACTACCACCACGGTAACCGCACTCTACATGTGGATTGCTCCTCACAAGCCCAAACTGTTGTCTCTATCAAACCTGGCAAGAGTTTGTTACCACAGCCATTATATATATTCTCTTTGTAACAGGCATTGCTAAATGAAAGGAGATGAATTCCAGCTAAAGTTATTTTCTGTTTATCTAATACTTCCTGCAGATTCTAATACTTCCAGGTTCACATTAATAGATAAAAGCGCTCAAAGGCTCAAATTTGTATTGACAATTTTGTAAAGCATCAACGTCTTGTACATAGATCTACTTCATATAGTTCAAGCTAATAATTAAATGCTGTAAGCAGGCTTCCTAATCAAAATCATAATTTCATTACCAGATAATTATTTTCTTAAATACATTTTTTTTCTACTTATGAGAGAGAGAGAGACCAAAAGGGCTCTTGAGAATACAAATATCAGCAATTTTCTTGTCACATATGACCAATTTTTCCATACAAAATGTGCTTAAATTAGTAAATACACAAACAAAATAGCACATTTTCATAAAAAGTTTTCTTTTATAGATCATGTATCAGCAAATTGCTCATCACATGACCAACAATTCCATAAAAAATGTGCTTAAATTAATAAATATACAACTAAAATATCATGTTTAAATACAAAATTATAGAATTACTCCATTCTCTGTATTAAACATCTACAGGCCTTTATTATACCATAATCAGCACTTAAACAAATACTTATGTTTACTAAGATTTTATTTGGGATAATTTTTTTTATGTTTTTTAAAACAACTTTTTAGTGCAAAAATTTTTTGAATTAAAAATTTGTGCCAAGAAACTGCTTTAGAAAGTAGTAAAAAAGTTATCCCAAACAAAGTCTAAATTTTACCTTAAAAAAATCATCTGTCATAGTTAGCCTCTTCGGGGACAACAATCAAAGTCGCCAATTTATTATGTGCTCGATTAACGATGACTTTGATAGGCATGCCCAACTTATCTCCCATTATCTCAATGATCTACCAGCAAAATAATCGAAATTAGGAAATATATAAATAATATCAAAGAGAAAATCGGGTCAGCATGAATTTTTAAAATTTTTTAATTCACTAAATAATCAATTGAGAATTTACAATTATTACTCTAAATACAAAAATTCTCTCAATAATTTAACAAAAAGGCATATCTAAGTCTTTATTTGGGACGACTTTTTTATTGCTTCTTAAAACAACTTTTTAATAAAAAATATTTTAAATTAAAAAATTTTGTACTAAAACACTGATTTAGAAAGCAATAAAAAAGTCGTCCAAATGAAGCCTAAATTAGTGCTAAATGCTATATAAAGATTTTCTATGAGGCTATGATCATACCTCTTTTATACTCGAAATAGGCCTGCCATCAAATTCAGTAACTACATCACCTGGTTGAAATCCAGCATGTTCAGCTGGAGAACCTGGAGTAACCTGTTTGTCAAAACAAATTTATTCAAAGATAAGCAGAGCCATGACAAAGTAAAAAATCTAAAGTTTTGGAGAAAGCATGAGAAGAAAAAAAATCATTAATCTACTAGAATCAGACCAATTGCCATCAATGTTGCTGTGATAGCCTTGTTCCAATGATCAGGGGGGTCACATACTTCACTTATTCCAATTTTAAGTATAGCTTATGATGTCAAATTCAGGTTTCGTTTGGGACGGCTTTTTTGCTACTTAAAACGCTTTTAGTTCAAAAATTAATTTTTTTTAAGAAAAAAAAAAACACTTTAAGAAGCAGTAAGAAAGCCGTCTCAAATGAAGCCTCAATTTGCTCAACTTTTATCACACAAGTTTGACCAATGTTCTATTAGTTCTACCATTTCTCTTCTCAAATCCTTGCATATTAATTTTGTATACCAGTCTTATTTGTTCATTCTTTCCATACAATCTAGACAAACCAAAAGTCAAATTTTCTCTTATTTTGGTTAGGTGCTACTACTGCAATGCCTTCCATATAATCATTTTAATTTATTTTTTCTAATTTTGTCAAACATATATCCTAATATTATACATTTTTATACCCATCTTAACCTATAAATGACTACTTAATAACCTTAACACTCAAATCCATATATAATATAGTATATAATTATAGTTTTCTAGAATTAACTATTATCCTCCACTATATTCTTTGATTTAATAATATGCCTAATTAATTTCTCCCAATATTGACCCTACAAATTGTATTATATCCTCATAAATGTCTCACTTCCATATAATAGCACAAGCAAGCTGATTGAATTTTTAAAAACTTACCTATTATAAATCTAAATGATAATTTCCTATTGATATTGCTCCTTAAGCATATATCTATTAAACCACCTAATCTTAACATTAAAAAGCATCTTATCATCTATATCTCAATATTCTTTGTATAATAGGTTCATATTCTTTGTGTATATGACACCTAAATATCACTTGACCAAACAACAAACTTTAATAGTAGATTATAAAGCTCACATTCAATAAAATTAATAATATTTGTCCAAACTTTTCCTTGATTAATCATAATCCTATAGTCTAAACAAATCTCAATTATTAAGCTTGTTTACTTGCTTTAGAAGAAATCTCATATATCTATTCTGTAAATAGCATCTACCAATCTCAACTCATTTATCTTATATAGTCATCTTTAGAATCAACATATAGGATTCAAACTTAATATTGATTCAAAATATACATATAGTGACTAAGAACCATTTTGTCATGGCATAACCTATAGTATAGTTAATGTTATACATCTTTAATAATTTTGATGCAACTTAACACAAATATTTTCCTGAAAAGATATAGTTAGAATTAATTAGATATAACTTTTTTATATTAGATTTAAGATAATTTGACTCTTAACATGACATAATGGAGAAAAAAAGATTCACGTTGCTAACCCCACGTAGTAGTATAAAAACTTGATGTTGTTGTTGTCGTTCACAAATTTAATATTAATAACAATTCTTGTAGAGCTCAATCATATATCTTTTTGAGAGATCTAGTTCTCAAAAGAATATTAGAAATGTCTGAAAAATAGCATTATTTCCCATACAGACCATTAGACACATTATGCCAAGATGCAAAAAGATGAGCCTTATTTCCCTCTTAAATACAAAGCACCTTCATGAAAATTTAGATAGCTTGCAAGAAAAATACATTGAAATGTCATCAAACCAATGCCAACACAATAAAATGAACCGAATTATACACTTGCATCACAGCTGCTCAACTGCAAGCTGTTATATTGCAGTAGTTCACACTTCACTCCACTAAAAGAACACCCTTGGAAAGTTAGAAAACTACATTTAAAAAGACTAAATAATGAGAAATTTTCCTTATATGTAATTAGATCGTGCAATTATGGAGCAACTTCATTTAAAGAACACTAGTATCCTCAACATTACATTTAAACAACAATATTCAATCAAGTTGCAACTGCTAATTCGTCAAAAGTCCATAATCTTTAATAAGTGGTAAAGGGGTTTCAAAACAGCCTTCAAAATAAAAAAAGGAGTATCAAGGAGGTATGGATCGCTAGACATGTCAATGCATTCACAAACTTCTTTAAGGATAATGAAGTGTACCAATTTGTCAAAAAAGCAGCTAATTGGATCAAAATCTTGCTTGGTAAGGCATCATTAATACCTTAACGGTCTACAAATCATTACCAAACCTTCATATAAAATAACCAAAATGCCGACAAAGAATTGACAACCATTCAAAAAAGATTAAAAAAATAATAATAATATTTCAGATTTCATTCCCTTAGCAGATGATACCACAAGATTGCTTTAAGAAATAGCAAAGAAAAGAAAGCATACCATAAGTATAAGAACACCTCTGACGACATTTGGAAATGAAGAATCTCTTTCTTTAAGCTGTGTAATGACCATGCTATTAAGGTCAAGCATTTTCAACCCTAGCCAAGGTCGGATAACTCTTCTGCAAGGTATAGATGGGTTACTGAGATTAATATTCCAAAATATTTTTTAAAAACAAGATCACGTATAAGTGAAGTTATGAACCAATGAAAACCAGATTCAATACACAGGAATACTAGTTTCACAATCAGTCAACATGAACAAAGCAAAACCATGAAAGAAGACACCGCTTAAAAGAAATCTTTAGCTTGTTTGGTTACTCGATTACTAGTTAAATAATCTGAAGAAAACATAAAGAATGATTCGGTTAACTTGCTTAAGGCACAATAGATATCAATTGCTTAAACAAACGAGATACTTCAGTGCTATTTGCTAGCAATGAAAGTACTAAACAAAAATTGACATGGATAAATAAATCAATTTTGCAAACTGAATAATAAAGAACATCTAATCACCATTTTTTTGCATTGAACCATAAGTGAGATTGTTCTGCTAAGTGCTAACCCTTATTAAGCATAATAGTTAAAAAAAGTGACAATGAGTGGTCCAAGATTTTTTTTTAATGCAAATCTACAGTGAGCTGCACAGAATTATCCAAACCTATAAATTTGGAGGTTAAAATTATAATTTTAATAACTATTTTACTTTTGATAAAAATAAAAAAATAAAACAAGAATCAATGCAAAACATAAACAAATGATTTTCAACTAGAAACAATTAAAAATCATAAAGATCTTGAAAATTAACCGCTCATAGAAATTCATATTCCATCGGACTTGAAATAAATTAATTATGCACTCAAACCAATAAAAATTTCTCAAGAAAATAAATAGAAGTAGGAAAAAAATGATCAAAACAAGTCTATCTTGTATAAGGCGATAACCTCTCCCAAAATTCTTTAGTCTCTTATTTGATCAAGGAGTAAACTATAAGACTTAAGCTCTAGGACGAGCTCCTCGCAGCAAATCATAAAGCTTGAGCAGGTCAAAAAATTCTCATATGTTATTGAAATAATCTAACAAGTAATCCTCGCAGCAAATCATAAAGCTTAAGCTCAAGAATGTGATGGTGTCAGTTGGCTGGTTATCTGTTAAAGGTTTCAGCATATGTTATTGAAATGATCTATGAAGTAATCCTCATAGGAAGTGTGATCATAAGTATATTAATGATTAAGTATGGGATGATTTGTATGGTAATCATTTAGCTGTTAATACTCCATCCATTTGACACAATTTAAAATTTACATGAGGTGCTCGAGTAATCATGAAGAGTATTATTATAATAATACATAGAATCATCACTTCTTAAATCGTAGTACATTTTACAAGATTTGTGGACAATAGTAAGATGTAGCAACAGTTTCAAGCAACAGCAGGTCGAAAAATTCAAAACACTTCAGAGAGATTGCTGCGGCAGTTGATCCAGCAGTTGAGTACCAAGCACAAACAATTAGTCTGATAACACTCATAACAGTAGCAGCAAACCAGTAAACATTTGATGTGTTAAGCCAATAAACATCTTGAATTGAATCAAAAATCAAAAGAAACAAAAGATCAAAGGCATGGGCTGTATATTTGCATATTCTTTGGCTGATAAGATGGAGCAATCAACCATAAGATTGGAAAGTGGAGGCTTTCAAAGATATTTATGATCATTTTCATTTGCCAATCTCCATGGAAGTAGAAAAAAGGCTTTAAGACACTAGAAAGATTTCTGCCATTAGGGTTATTCCTGGTAATCCCCGATGAATCTGTCAACCGGTAAGAAATTAGGAGAGGAAGAAAGATAGGAGATTAGAAGAGAATAATAATGGCCGGTTAGTCAAGGGAGGAAGAGAGAGGAAGAAGTGAGGAGAGAGCTCATGCGAGAGGCTGATTTCTTATTTCATCATATAACATGCCTTGTTACATGAAGAACCCCTTCCTATTTAAATGGGCACACCATAATAAAAAGGACAATAAAATTAAAAACTAAATTCAACACATCACAATGTGTACAATTCACAATGTATTACATTCCGAACTCTAATCAATTGAGATGTTGCTTGTTGTCACCTAACATGTCTCACGATTTTATCCCCATGTTACTTATCAAAAAGTCACATCCTAGGAGTCATTCAACATGAGCACAACTAACTTTGAAATTCCAAACAAAACTATAATTGTTATGCCTTGATGCTATTTAGCTTTACTATATTGAAAAGTTCATACAACGATCTAATAGCACAAACTCTCATCTATAAAGATATTGTCCGCTTAGGCGTAACATGTCTCATGATTTTATTAGCTTGATGCAACTTCCCAAGATGTCGCCCATCCTATATGTGATCTAGCATGAACATGTTTTCAGAGCTCCCAACGAAACTCATTGATCGTTAAACCAACTGATGCATTGAACTTTAAAAGTTCAACTTCATCATACTTAAAGGGTTTCACAATCTCTCTCATTCAAATAATTATTGTCCTCATCAATGATCTTGCATAACCCAACATCATCAACTATGCATATAAAGTTCAAGAGTGTGGGCTTCGAAAATTCACACCCCGTCCTCTCCGCATAGTTCTTTTTTCTATGAGAAGCATTTTAATGGATATAAATTCCGGGTTAAATTTTTGTAAGGTAGATTGGGTTTTAGATAAGACACTACATAGAGATTTCGCCCTCATTTAACGAAAACTTTATGATCTGAGTTCTCGTTTCCTATAAGCGCAAGCCCCTATAGTTAATTACCCCTCCTGATAACGAGAAAGAACTTTCGATTAAGGATAGTCGTGAGATAGGCGCTAAGTACCTAGCATATAGTAGCAGCAACTTTAGGGATTGAATTTTGGAGTTTTGGGGATTTTTAAGATTTGAAATTTATCATCACATACTTAAAACGGATAATGGGGGGAATTGAGATGAGCCCGATCAAGATCCTATTGTTTCGTCATCCCAGGCTGTCATGGTCTCTAGTTTACTTAGTCATAAGAGGTAGTCGATCCAACCTGACATAAGGCGCTTTATCGGCAGCCATGATTTGCTTCGTCCAATGATACCTTGTAGACCTGAGGTGATGTTTGTCTAAGGAGATGCACTTGAGTTCACCTTAACTGACAAAGAGACTTTATGCCTACCAAGTACATCCTATGATTCATTACTCCAAGATTTGAAACCATTAGAGAGCATATGGACTTTGGCCCTGATTGTAATATAGTAGCACCATTTTGACGCAAAATCACACAATCAAAGGGCATGTGCCATGTCCCTGCTTGCGAGAGATTATTTGAGGATGAATGTTAGTAATACACCCGACACGACATTTGTTCTTTGTGAGCCGATGTTAATTCAAACTTATCACCCCAACAAACGGTTATAGAAGGTGAATGTGTTTTAATTTTAATTTTTGCTGATTCAAGTTTCATTTAAATGTTTAAAGTTTAATAGATATTAGATTTTAAAATTTTGATAGGCTTTGACAATTAACCCCTTCGATTCAGATTCACTTTGAAAATGACCATCATTGGGAAAATTTTGTAATCGCTTTAAAAGATTTGTAGTTCCATTAGGGTTCATAGGTATTTTGAAAGAAAGATTCCTCTTCAATTGAGATTTGCATTCAGCACGGCTATCCCCAGGGTGACGTTCATGAGTTATCTTGAAAGATAGATTCCCCTCTAGTTGAAATTTACATTCAACACGGCCATCATCCGAATAACATGACTGTCATTTGAAAAATATTTATATTTGGTAGAAATTTAGGAGGCATTTTATAATTCAAGTTAGGTCAATTTCAATCCTTTCAAGGAGGATGATGAAACTTGACTATTTGACCCGCGCAACATTCTTGAACTGTTGGATCTAAGAATCAAATATGACAATCAGAGCACATACGGGACAAAATAGAATAGTGAGAGTTCTATTGGACGCATACAAGAGGCCATCAATAATGGACAAAGTATATTTTTTTAACAATCCAAAAGTTTCAATATTTGAGATTTCTTATTGTCAACTTGATTATGTAGGCCAATTAGCAAAGTTGAATGGATAAAGCGTGGGCATTCAAGACATTGAAGGTTGGTTCTGTAGAATAAAATTGTTAAATGAATTAGAACCCATTTGAACGATGAGTAATGTTGTTTAAACTGGTTGTATCTTGTGAGGCAATGTCTGACACTATATCATAAAAGAACCTTAAGTTTCATATATCCATATCTAAAACAGACAGATTTTTTATGCTAGCATCAAGAAGCTTTTACCCAGAGGATATTTGTAAGCAACAAGCACTCGAATCTATTTCAATGCAAATAAAACTGAAAGGAAATATCCTAATCTTCGAATTTAAACAACTCTAGTTTCACTTTCTCATTATCCTTAATGGGGTATTCACCGCTTTGATCAATATTTTTAGGAATATGGATGTTGCAAGGAAGAGTAAACGGAATAATGGATCCACCAAAACATAAATTTGAACAGTACATTTCAGGATAGCTGATGTACAGGATTAAAAGCTAGTTCCTCCACTATATAGTGATCCTGAAAATTTGATTTTGCAATAGTGAATGATCATTGAAGTGAAGATGAAGCATTTCTGGTTGGGAACAAAGAATATTATCTCAAAGAGATTAACTTAACACTTCCCAAGAAAATGCTAAGTGTTATGCCAATTTACATTCAGTATATCCATCCGCCAGGAGTCGTTAAAAATTAGAAAAGAATTCCCAATGAATTTCTTTGAGCTAGTCAAGTGCATCAACATAGTATCAACTGAAGTGAGCGAAGGCTGCTATCCACATGAGGAGAAAGGACATGCGTATAGGTAGCAAAGAGGACTGAATTAAAGAATTTTCATAGAGCATGGTGTATTTTCTCATCTCAAAATATCTTGTGGGTAGCTTTTACATTCCAGAAATATTGTGAAGGTAATTAGCCTATCTTTGTTGAGTATAAAGTTGGTGATTCAACCATTATGAAATGATTGAATTCTATTACACATGCTGCATAGATTGACATTTGGAAGGATGTAGGAGTGGGTAAGCTGTTTTGTTTTACGTTCCACATTACTTGTTTCAAGTGCAGCATTTTATACTTGATGGTGGATGGAGTGCTTATTTATTTCTGAATTGTCTTCCTTTCACTGTTAGTCAGTGATTGAAGCATTTTGGATGTTCATCCTCAAATGACGGTTCTGGATACTCTATTATTATGGAAAACTGCTACCAAATCAAGGTTTTCATTAAAGATAGCCTGGAAGAAAATAAAACAAAGAGTTCTAATTGAAATAAGAATATCCCAAAATTCACGTGTTGCCACTTAGCAGCAGAATGAAAAAATGTATTTTTTGTGCCGCTGACAAAAGTCAGACACTTGTGTTTTTACTCAGTATTGCAGCACTTCAGTAATGGAGATATTAACTACTTTGATTTAGATTAAAGTTCACTGTAAATTCATTCATTTAAGTCTTTATTTTCATTCCATTTTAATTGTGCATGTCAATTTTAAATTTCTAAGTCCAATTAGCATTTAGATAAAAATCCTGCATCCTCCTAATGTCCCCTCCCCGCAAAGGAAGGTTAGGAGGGCACTTGCCTTTTCAATCCGCCCAGCCGAATAGGATTCGTTGGCTGAGGGCTTCGGGATATTCATTGGTCTAGGTATAAGTCTTCGAGTCCCCAATTTGCTTGCAGTGCCTGTTGTTTAAATATGCTTTAATTTAAAAATATTTTTTTTCATTTCTCATGAAAACCCAGCAATCTTTCGATGCCCCGTCCCCATGAAAGGAGGTGAGAGGGCACTTGGTCTTTCAAATCCACCTAGTCGAATATGATTCGACGGTCGAGGGCTTTCGAACGTTGATTGGTACTAGTATCAGCCTTCAATCATCCCTGTCGTAGCACCTTTATATATATACACACACACACACACTCCAATACTCACTTCAGATGAAAGCAGGGCGAGATGAGGTGATAAGGTCGGGTCAGTGCGGGCCGGGTCGATTTGATTGCGTCAAGTATTAGTTTTGATTGGCTCTGGTTACGGCGAAGATCGAGATCAAGCTGGCTGGAGTGCGGGTGGTCTAAGATCGAAGAGGATCGAGCTGGATCGCGAGGTTCTGATTTGCTTGCGTATTAAACAGGAAATGGAGGTCGGAGTCAGGTCGGTTGGCATGTGCACGCGGAAGGATAGCGGTTGGGTAGGGGCTGGGCGAGCTCTTTGAACAGAGAGAGAGAGAGAGAGAGAGAGAGAGAGAGAGAGATTTGGAGCGTGCATGAGTTCGAATAGCTGAGAGGCAGAACAGTTCTACGTGAATTTTTTTTGTCGTGATGAGTTATGTGATTGACGGTTATGAGATCATGTGTGAACGTCGTTTGGGTGAGTGGGAGCCGATTTTGCGTTTTACGATAAACAAAGAGTTGTCCCCGATTATAAGCACTTTGTTTCAAATAGGTTCAAGAGCTAGCTCCTACATTGCAACATTTAAGCGTGTTCATGTTGAAGAACTTCAACGATAGGCGGCCTCTACAGAAGTAGCTTTAAGGGGATAAAATCATGAGGCTTCTTAAGTCAAAGTAGATAGTATATTGATGGATGAGAGTTCGGTTATTATTATGATCAACTTGCATAACAATTGTCTATTGAGACAAATAAAAGAAGTGTTGTCAAAAGCCAGAAGCAAGCGTTATGGCCCTCGAGTGCATGCTTGCTCACACTCAAAATGAGGTAAGCATAATTTTTTTCCTTCCTCTGAAATCTTATGATTAGCTCTTTTCTTTTCATTATTTCTGTTGATTCCTTATAATATAGATGTGTATTGATCTTCCTATTGCTCTAACATTTTATGGAGTACTTTTTCTCAAGTTTTTATGGTCCTAGATAGAGCTCTGTTTTACAATATTTTCTATTGCAATAAACTAGTAAACATTATTTACTTGAAGGTGTTGGATACTTGCACTAGAAAGTTAATTTCTGGTTTCATTTATTGTGCCGATAAAACCAGATGCTTCATTGTTATTTAGTATCTTCTTACATATTATGCCAATGCTAGTGCTTCATTGTCAATGGCCGCTATAAACCTTTACATAGCACTTAGTTTATGTATTAATTGCACCTTGTTCCACTCAATAAAATGGATGTCCTATTAATCGAAGAAATCCAAGGCATGTACATAACAGAATATACATTATAAAAAGGGTATACTAATTTCAATTATTTGAAGCTACACTCAAGCTTTCTCTTTTAAGCAAAAAAAACCTCTTGTGCTTTTATAAAAGCATTACCACTTAAAAGCAATACGTTAAAATAAGTCCATTGGTATTATTCAACTACCTATATTCTAAAGGTAATAAAAAATAACATAAAAATCATATCTATTAAGTGCCAAAAAAGCTATAGTACATTAGAGCAAGAATACTTTTATTAATTCAAATGAAAACTAATAAAGGAGAAGAAAGAAAGAAAGCATACCCTCTTTTCAACAAGTTATCCATTATTTTAACAGCTACATCAATAGGAACTGCAAAGCTCACTCCATCTGCATTCAATACTTTCAAAATATTTATTCCTACAACCTCACCATCAAGATTCACAAGAGGCCCACCAGAGTTGCCCTACATGCTCATTAAACATGGCAAAATAAATGTTGTCCCAATGGTTTGAACAAGAAAGCTAAAGATGATTAAAAAGACTGTTAACACTCAAACTTCCAATTTGGAAAAGGCATTTCCAAAATAAATATTTGCCAAAATGGTTTGAACAAAGAAGCTAGAAATGATTACAAGTACAGTAATACTCATACTTGAAATATGGAAAGGCATTTTAAAGTTCACAATAGATAAAGAACTAGGCAGGAATTCGGTGTAGATGCAGCCATGATGACAAAAAAATGAACTGAGAATAATGTAACAAATATTAGTACAAAGTTAAGATCATTTCATAGAATAAATGTTACTTCTAATGCTTACTTAGTGCAAGAATGTTTCTGAACAAACCCTAATACATGTAGAAAAACATAAACACCTCATGATCCAACAAACAACACTGAAAGAATAATAAGCATATACTCCAAAGAAATAAGATACTAAAATGATACTGACATGTCAGAAGGATGTTTGGTTTGCTGAAAAATAATGCAGAGTAAAAGAAATTCAATGCAAAATAGAATTTGAGCGTTTGGTTCGATGAAAAAGAAATGCAAGGTAAAATTCCAGTGATTTCTTTTTCCACTCAATAGTCCATTTTTTATAAATTGTAAGTTCACCCATATTTGGCTGAATTCATTTTTTCACCACAAGCCAATTTTGTTGTTGCTACTTGACACCTTCGAACACTACTATCCGCCGCCATTGCTTGATCACCGGCCAAACTCCAGCTGATCGCCAAGCCATCAGCAGTTGCCATAGCCAACAGTCGGTAGCTGCTTCTGGCTAACCGTCACCCATCACCGCTCGCCGCCGTTGTCCGACTAATCGCCAACCAAATTCAATTCAAACCTCTCATTCAAGTTCTTTGTCCAAATATTTTATTCTAAATTCTACTGAGATTCCCAAATGGCTCTAAAGGATATGAATTGGCATTAGTATGCTCTACAGGGAAAGTCTGGATTTCTTTTTATTTGCTTGACCCCAAAGTCTCAACAAATAACCGCAAATCTATACATATGACACCAATCCTAGCATCTTCCATTTGTTTGAACCCAAATCAAGCAAATTATTTTCATCCTAAAACTTCCAAGTTATAGGACTTCTCTTTGGTTTCAACTCCCAAATTGGAGATAAAATATTAAATCCCTCTGCATATGCTTTAACCTAATTCAAGCCAATATTCTAACCATGTTATGCGAAGCAAAAAATGACATAGCTTTCTCTTTCCATTTAGTCTCCAAAGCTCTAGGAATCCACTATCCTCAAGTTATAATACATTTTGCTTTAACCTAATACAAACCATTATTCTAACCTCGTTATGCGAAGCAAAAATCACATAGCTTTCTCTTTCCTTTTAGCCTCCAAAGCCATAGGAATTCCCTAGCCTCAAGTTATAATATCTTTTGTATATCACTAACCTCAAAGGTATTGATACACTACTCTTATTTTGCCTGCGTCTAAAACATGCGAGTGAATTTATTTTTAGTATTAGGATCAAATCCTAATAGCCTTTCTTATTTGGCCCAAATCAAATAGAAACTCTCTTTCACTATAGGCCCAAATCCAACGGTTATTTACTTGACCCAGTCAAGCAAACCATATCTTTATTTCTTTTACCTCAAAGTAAAAGCTCATCTACTTTGCATAAACAAATAGAAAATATAGGCCCAACTAGGTTCTTTTACTTAACCAAAACAAGGAATTAGAATTAAAAATAAATTAAAATTTGCAAGTTTCTTTAGGAGCCTCATATCACGAAATTTGCCTAGCTCAATTGGGAGATTTCACCAAACCTACTCGAAACCCTAAAGTATATTTGCTTAGCCCAATTAGGTAAACTCTTCTTTCTTCTTAGCCAAATACTAGGGGTGCCAATTATTGACCCAACCCAAAAAATCCAAGTTCGGGTTGACTCATTTAACAAGCAGGTTAGGTTCGGGTTTCAATTTTTGGCCAGTTTAAAAAATAGAGTCGGGGAGTCAACCCGCTAACCCGGATTTGACCCATCTCCGACCTTGTCAGTCGCTTGACTCGTCCCTGCGCTGGCATCAGTCAGCACGCAGAGGAAGCACACACCTACGCACAGCACCCCGCACCAACAAGAAACTCGCCCTTGCCAGTCGTGCACACAACACGCACCTATGCACAGCACACTCTAGGTGACGCGGCCTTGCCCTGGCCAGTCAAGCTTAACACTTCCGTACGCGACCCACGCTCGACACTCGAGCTGTTTTCCCTTGCCCACAGGCCACAGTTCTGCACGCGCTTGAGCTCGACTTTAGCGCAGTCCGCCCTTTCCCATAGTCCCACTCGACCCCTGCGCGGTCTTCCCTTGCCCGTAGTCCTGCACGCGCTCGATGCTCGCAAGTAGGGTTAGGTCAACCCAGTAACCCAGCGAGTCAGGTATTAGTCTAAATTTCTTACCCATTTCCAAAACAGGGTCTGGTTCAGGTCTGCTGAATTGGACCCATGTCAATTCCGGGTTCGACTCGAATCCGACCTGAATACCCATTTTGACACCCCTACCAAATACTAGAGAATCATTAAAATCCATAAAAGTTGCTCAGTTTTCTTTTTGATACAAAAATGTCATTTCGTCACAAAAATTAAAACGTTTATTTCTTATTTCACGAGACACTATGAGTGCTAGGTATGCCTCAAAGCTAGCATTAACCAATCAATGGACTCTTCATAACCCTTAAAACTATTAAACCTTCTAAAATTTAAAAAGAATCTTTAAATAACAAATAACTTCAAATGAATCCACCCTAGAAAAATAAATTAAATATATTCCTAATCAATAAAATAACACATCAAGTAATAATGTGACAAACACACTGCCTTGCACACACTAGATGCACTACCCACATTTGTGCTAAGCCATGGATGTTTGATTGCATGGATTTTAAATATGCATACCTCATGACCTTTGTTTTGTAGGGAAATAGTGTTTTTTTTTTTTCTTTTAAAATATTATGAAGTTGTGTAAGCTTTCAAATTCATCTAAGAATTTTGACGATGGTGAACTCTTCCCCAAGTTTCCTATTTTCCTAGTTTATTTTCAATTGTGGTTATATTTTGACTCACAAAGCTCATATCAAGCTCTTCACCGCTAAAGCCTAGTAATTAGAAGAGTTGTGTGAGGGATATTTCATAGCCTAATCTTATTGTTAGTATTGGAATTTCTAGTTGAAACCACTCATGTATGCAAAATAAGATTTAGTTGACTATTTAATGATCTCAACCTCTCGCATGTGTTTAGACCAAAGCTATTTTATCACCTTAATGTTATCTTATCGTTTACATCAATAGAGGATTTTGCTTAACATTGCTCTCTAAAAAATTACAAGTGCAAACTTCCTTAAGCAAGTCATTTTCGCATGGATTGTATCACATCACTTTTCTATTATTATTGGTTGATTTTTGTGACATGATTTCATATTCGCTTAGGGTGCACACTATGTTTTTTCCTATATTTCTTCAAATGCTTTGCTTAGAGATGGCCTAGACATTCTTATGTGATAGACTTTGAGAAGATTAAATTTTCTACCCATTAAAATGTAAAAAATATTAAAGTAAACAATATCATAAGATTTTCTAAATAAACTTGCATGAATTATTACAAATAAGCTAAGATTTCAAAACAAAATGAAATTCAAAGCCTTCTTATGAACCCTAAGAGGTAATCTAATATTTGACTAATAAACATCTGTCTATGAAAATGTACTTATCAAATGTAAAAATATACTTATCAAAATCAGCATCAAATCTATCTTCTTAACTAATAAACATCATTTGAATAGCTTTATAAGTTTCATATAGAAATAAAATTTCTCCCATTAAGGAATAGATAATAAAAAATAATAATATTGGTTAGTCAACATAATACCTATTATGACCGGACATCTTAAGTTAAGTAGCTAAGCTATAAGTTATCTTTCCTAAATTAAAAATAGTCAAGCCTATTTTGCATATGTATTGAGATCAAGATTATATAATTTTAAAAACATTTATATGAGTTTAGCTGATCATCCTTTCCAAGCAGGATTATAAGACCAAAGGTCATAATAACTTAACTTTTGATGAGATTTTAGATTTATAAGTCTCATGCAACCAATTGGATTAGGTTTGAGTTACTATCTTATCAATGATTCTCATTTTAGATCTAAGACCAAATATTGATGTTTTTTTTTTTCAATTAAATTATCCGTCATTACCTTTTTGGGTATTATTTTCAATATTGCATTATTGAAATATAAGCTCTAATCTTCTAAATAAAATGATAAATGCTTAAATATATATTCAATTTTAAAATGTAAAAGCTCAATATAGGATAATATTAAGTATTTATATGCTTCTCATAATCAAGTACTCACACTCTTTCTTCTCTGTCTGTAAAATCAATTCTAAGTTGGTTCAATCATACTTAAAATTTTAGTAATAAATATTTCAAATGAAATCCTTGAAATTATATAAGAATTTTAGCCAATATTTTGATTAAAAGATTTTAAACCACTATCTTAATAAAAAAATTTCTAACTGATCAAAATATATTATGTAAGGGAAAATCTCTAGAAACTAAAAATAAATTCAAAACTAATTTTAATTATTGAGTCCATGCCGAAATCATATTTTTGTTCTTCAAAATAATATATTATTTTATATATCGTACTTAATAAAAAAATATTTTAAATATTTTAATAAAAAATTCCCCATCAACTATCATCATCATTAGCAAGGTTGATTTTATATTTCAACTTTAAGTCATTCTTGTTGACCACCAAATGGGGCATAGCCTTCGGCTTACAAGTGTTGGGGAAAGTAAAACAACGCAGTGAACACAAACAAAAAGGAGAAAATGGCAGCGAAAAAAAAAAAGAACACCAAGATTTAACATGAAAAAACCTGAAACCGGAAAAAAAAAAAACCACGGAGCCACACGCCCACACCACACCAAGAAATTCACTATAAAAGTTTGGGAGAAATAGTATACATCTTTTTTCTCACTCGTCATCTCCTTATCTCTATTCTCTCTTGCACCGTTCTCAACGAACAAACAAAAAGAAAAACATAAAAAACCACCAAGAGACACAACCCTTGAAAAAAAAATGAAAAAAAACTACCAGCATGTCTTGCAACGTCAAGTTTGGAATGCCACAACCCTCAACTCTCTAACTCCAGTATGTGTGATAGTTCTGCAACGCAAGCGCCACAGCCCTCCCTGACAGCACCAGGGTTTGGAGGGCCAAAGCGCTCCACTCTCTGTCTATCTCCAAGCAAATTATACAACGTTGCAACGCTCAAATATACAACATCGTAGCATCAGTTGCATGAAAAAAAAAAAAATTAGGTGCAAAACATTAGAAACCAAGCAGGGGTAGGACCCCGATGAACTCGACTGATGGAATTGAGGTCCAAGGCAACAATACATCCCGATTAATTGACACAATCGATTCCACACAGAACTATCCTTTTGCACTCTACTAAAAAAACTTTTAGTAATGTTACTTTAGTCCTAGCCGTTTTACTTCCCATTCATTCAACATTAATTCTCTACAGCATTTTATTAGTGATATTTTATCCTCCATTATAAATGCCCAATTTCCACTACTTTTATTTTTAATTTACCAGGTAATGCTGCAATCATCTCTTTGTTGTAATCATTTGTACTCTAACATTCCTAATTTACCACTCATCAAATCTTGCCATTCTGTCTGAGCTCAAAAAACACAATTTTTATATCTTGGTTGAATCAAAACTATATAAGGGTCAAATTTTGTTCAAAAGATATTTGTAAAATCTATAGAACAATGTATTCCTTCCTCTCTAATGGCTGATAACCCAGCTTAGAATTTGAATATGCATCAAGAGTTTTAAAATTGCTATATGTTCCACTATAATTGGCGATCACCATCTCTACATAATAAGTATTTGCATTAACTAACCTAAAGTAAAGAAAAATAAAAGATTAATGAAATAATTTATTTTGTGCATATTACTTACAAATATTGTTATCATCCCACTTGTCAAAATATTATAAACTTAACCATCTTTCAAGGAAATCGTAAATGGTACAAATTCATCTTTCTCATATATAAATATACATAATGCTTTGTTTGTCCGCATATATAAATTTTGACTATCTTAAAATAAAAATTAAGGGAAAGAGAGAGATATAGAGAAATAGAGAGAGAGAGAGAGAGAGAGAGAGAGAGAGAGAATTTAAAGCTGCAATAATTACAAAACTATGATGCTTTGGAGTCAAGATTAGCATATCGACTTAGCAAAATAAATTCTACTTGATAAAGCAAAATATAACAAATATGAAATTGTAATAGTTGGAAAAGGTAAGAATAAGGCAGGGAGATAAAATTCATGTAGAAGAATTATATTAAAAAAAGAAAAGAAAAAGATAAAATTAAGATAAAAAGTGAGGAATTGAGCATTGATATTTAAGAGTTGACACCTCATGCTATACTCAATAAATAATGATAATTAATAAATTTAACACCAAAAGGTTCATTTATAGTTATATACTCTAAGATAATGATTAGAAAAATGGTAAGCAAGCATTTGGCTTAAAATTTAAATGTTTCAACTAAAAATGAAATAAAATTTTAATCCACTTTTCCGTGATCAACAATAGGATAGTTTGGGCGTAGGGGTGGAGGTTCTTGAGCCTATAAGATAGAAATTTATTATGGCTAAGCAAGGATCGAATTCAAAACCTTAGCAACAACTTCCAAGACGCTCATCAACCAAACTAGCATGAGGGGTGGATATTGAAATCAAATAAATGTGACAAACATAATAAACTCATTTATAAACAAAATAACATTACCTACCTCATTGACGGCACAATCTGTCTGTAAAAATTCTTGTCGAATCCCACCAATTCCTAAATCACTGCTTTTCCGATCAACACAGCTGAGAAAAAAAATATTGTTAAACAAAACCCGTGTTAGTTTAACTTTTTTGGGTGCATTGGGATGCAATTTCTTTTCTTTATTCTTTCCCTGAGAAGAAATATAGAGTGTTGATATATGAGTCATACTTCAAAACATGTGTTAGTTAAACTTTTTGTGTGCATTGGCATACAAGTTATTTTCTTTTCTTTATTCTTTCCCTGTGAAGAAATATAAAAAAATGTTGATATAGGAGTCACAGCTTAGTATATTTTGCTTTTATTTATGTTGAGTGAAACAAACTCATATTCTCACATAGAAATATGAGTTGATCCATGATTCACTCATGCACTAATAAAGCTAAGGAAAGGTGCACAAGCAAAATGGTGATAGATTAAGCATAATTTTTATATAAATCAAACTAGCACTTCAAAAAATTATGAAAGGAAAAGGTGAACAAAATAAATCTTCATAAATGAAAATAAATTTCTCGTACATAAAACGCTTAGCAAAAACCTTCAGAGCATAATGAGCGGCAAAATGAACTCAGGCTGTTGGATATATCAAACAAAAGAGCTCGTATATTAATCATTAATACCTAACAATGCCAGCAGTAACTGTGTTCTGAAGGGAAAGTGGACAACCCATAGCTAGCACCCAATCACCTGGACGAAGTTTGCTAGAAGAACCAAGCTTTGCTGACGGTAGTGGAGTTTTAGAATTAATCTTCACAACAGCAATGTCAGAATGGATATCAGCACTAACAACAGTGCCCTCAAATTCTCTTCCATCTTGCAAAGTTACATCAACCTGGATAATTTACCAAAGATAAAGCAGATTAAACAACTCTTTTTTTCCCCTTTTGGCTGAATAAATTTGTTTTGGGCTCATTAAGTTACAAATAATCACAAGTACAGTGAAGTAACAGCATGTTGACCTCTCTTTTGAGAAAGGTTTGTAACACTCTACAATACACCTTTCCAATAATGTAGAGTGTCACGGAAATAAAAATAACAATCATTCTCAACATAATATACTTTTTATCATTTGAATCATTGTATTAAACATTCACTGACAATTACATGTACTGAATAAATGGATATTTGCCCAAGAAAAATAAGCGAACCTCGCTTTCACAAGCTTAAGGTCCTTATTTTCTCTAGGTAGATTGAATTTTAAATTAACCAGATTTCCAGTAAGAGTAGTGTCAGGGTTTATTTAAATATGAATCCTACTTCTTATGAGCGCAAGCCCTCACAATTAATTACACCTTCTAACACGTAGAGGAGCACTCTCGATTAAGGATGAAATTATATTAGTATGTGCATTAAGTACAAATGTGTGTGCAACAGCGTGTAAATGTTCTAAACCCTGGTTGTGGGGGATGAAAATAGACCCGATCAAGATCTCATGGTTCCGTCATCCCGAGAATACCGTAACATTTAGTCTACCAACACTTCACGGATTTGACACCAGCGTCAGAGTCTTGTTTTGCTAGTTTTGCTTCGATACTATCCTGCAGTCTTTGTTTTGACACTTACTAGTCAGTAGTTGTTTTCTACTCTAACTTTCGGTATTGTGTTTGTTGTTTTGACTTCAGCACTAGGTGCTTTCACTGTTTAGCACTAGTTCTACATTGCAAGTTATATTTAAATACACAATATTAATGCTATATTTGTTTGCTTGAAGGTAAATTGTACACGCAGCAATTTAGAGAGATCTATGGTAGCTGCAATTGAGGCTACTGTTGAGGGCAGAGAGTGTGTTAAGGGGTGTCATTTGAGAGCTGTTAGAGAGCTTATAATTATGAGAGTTTGTTACTTAAGTTGGATTAGTGGAAAAATATTTATTTATGCTTTCTTTTTTATTTAATTGCATTAATTAATTGAGTTAATTAATTAAATTAAATTTTAATTAAAGTTTGAATTTAAAATTTAAAATTAATTGCTCAATTCGTTAAATTTTAAATTTTAAATCTATTATAAAAAAACTCAATTAATTATATTATTAATTAAATTTAATTGCTCATTAATTTAAAATTTTATTATTTTTGTTACAACTATTAATTAAGTTGGTTGATCAGTTAGCCTAATTAATGTTAAAAGGTTTTAAGTTGAATTGAATATTTCTTTAATCAAATGTTATTTAATTAAATTTGATTTTTAATTGAGTTCTAATTAGTTAGTAAAAAGAAACTCAGTTTCAAACTTAAATTTAAGTTTTAAATTATTAGTTAGTTTCAAGTTTTAATTAATTTTAAAGTTCTGATGATTAATTGCTATTTAAGTTAATCAGATTTGGTATTTTAGTTCAATTTCTTAGTCGTTTTACTTAAATTAAACGAAGGCCACCTCATATGCAAACACAAATTAGAGAAGGTGCTCAAAGGAAAAGACAAAACAGCTAACAACCACAAAAATTATGATCCAACACAATACTTTGTTGCTCCGGCAAATACCAAAAGAACTTGGCATATCATCACTTACTATTCATAATAGTTTAGAGAAGAAAGATAGAGCTGAAAGTAAAACCGTGCAGAGATTAAGTAGAAAGAAGCCTGAGACAAAGAAGTAGAACGAAGGTAGAAGATAGCTCACAAGCTTCCCTCATGTTTAAAATGATTAACTCACAATAGTTTAGAGAAAAAAATACAGGTGGAAGGGAAATCGGGGAGAGAAGAAGTAGAAAGAAGACTGAGACGAAGTAACAGGGGATAGGGAGAATACCAGCTCGCAAGCTAAAAAAAACCTCAAGTTTTTTAATTGTTCACATTCCAAAAACTCTTTTTTTTTTCTCAAAGGGATCCAGCCCCAATTTATAGGAGAAAGAGGGGAGAATAGCATTTACAAGATCACATAAATGTGCCACCAAAACAGTAAATCAAAACCACCAAATTCAGCCCACATTAAAACTTCTTGTATAGGAATCAGCAAAGAGAAAACCGAGCAACCAATAGCAGTAAACCAAACAGCTAGCAGAGAAACCGAGTGGATGACGGGGAAACCAAGCAGCCAGCAGGGAAACAGAATGGACAGAAGGGAAAAACTCAAGCAGCCATTAATAGAAGAGAAGAAATGGGCCAAGCCAAATAAGGAAAAGAAACAACCCACATATAATTACCCAACAACTAAGCAGCAAGATCAACACAAGTGGAAAGACGATGGAGTGAATCAACCTGAGAACATCGAACCTAGCATTATCATGGGTTGTTTTCCATCATAGGGCATTAAAACTATAAAATAAAACATAGCGTCCAATAAAAATTAAAATACATAAAATGTAAATTCTTGACTACATAAAAAATGGAGCTCTTGGAGCTCTCCCAAAATTAAAAGAATTTTTATTTTAAATATACTATAATTAAATGAATGATGGGTTGGCTCATTGATAACAAGCAAGCAAAACAATCTTAAATCCTTTCCATTCCTTTTTTCAAGAGAATGAGAGAAACAAAATCTTAATATTAAGTTGCAATGAGAGAAACAAAATCTTATTCAAAATTAACAATGGGAATACTCCATTTACAAAATTACGCTTCTTTTTTTTTTGTAAGTTTAATTTTTTTAATGGGAGAAAAATATATATTCTGTTTAAAAAAGGGGCAAGTTTCATTTATCAAATCTATTTAATGTCTAAAGTAATATGCATATCATGTTCTTTTACAAGTAAAACATTTTGTCCTTAACTACTATAGATTTAATTGAAAAAAAAATCTTTTTAATGATTAACAGATTTAAGCTATTTTAAAACTTTATTCAGAATTTTTAAAATTTAATGGAAAAGGAAAAAAATAAAGCACTTCCTCATTAAACCAAAAATTTCAAAATGAGGCTCTCTCTTTTAAAATAAAATAAAAAGCTCATTCAATACGAAGAGAGTAATCATCACTTACTATCCTTCTAAAATCAGCCCCATAAAATAAAAAGTCTAATATCTAAAATTACCGAAACTTCTATTTTTATGTTGTTGTATAACGCCTGATCATTGGAATTATTATAACAAAAAAAACCATGCATTGTATACAGTTACTTTCCTAAGCATTATTTAATCGGGAAAGCTTAAATGATGCAAAAAAGACAATAAATGAGCTGCTAGAAAGAACCTCTAAAAACCACTTGTCTTTTTATCACTCATCGTTTACTCCAATATTTAAGCTGAAAGAAGCAAGATTAAGGCTTCGTTTGGGACGGCTTTTTTGCTTCTTTTTAAAGTAGTTTTTTAGTAAAAAATTAAATTTTTTGTACTAAAAAACTACTTTAAGAAGCAGCAAAAAAGCCATCCCAAACGAAGCTAAGTAAAAAACACAAGTAAAAACAAAATTAAAAGCTAACCTTTCCTTTAGAGATGCTTTTCATGCCCTCAAAATCTACAACAACATGAGCGCATGTCAAGATAGTGCCATCTGAATCAATGATAGTTCCTGAACCCATACTCTTCCCAAGAATCAAACCGTGAATGCCTATTATGGTAGCACTCAACAATAAAAAACAATACATTGCAGAGGTAACAATAATTAAAAAGTCAAATTAAGCAATGATAAGTCACCTCTTGAAACAGATATATTAACAACTGATGGGCCTGCAGCGGCAGCAGCATTGGCGATAGCATTCCTCCCCAAACATCCAGGGCCACACTTATCATTATTCTCATCCCCTTGAGGTTCTTCCTTCTTTAAATTATCGCGTGAAACAGCAGCATCCACGAAAGGAAATAAGCCTGGATATGAATTATTTGCACAACAATTAAATGCCTAGTTTTCAAAAGAAATTAAGAAAATAATAAACAGAGAAAGGAAAAATATAAGAACCTCCAATAGGGTTAGAGAAGAGCAATGAAGAAGCAAAGCCCTGCAAGACAAAATCTGATGGATGGAAGAGGAACTGATGAAGGAGGGGGGAATGGGAAATCGGTGCTCCTGAGGAAAAAAGTAGAGAGTAGGATCAAAGAAAAAAAAAAATCTAACTAATAAAAACTTAGGTAGGAGGGAGCCATAATACTTGAAAGAGAAGAGTTATTATCATCCAAGAAGTCAGAGGCGGCGATGAAAGCAATGACCCCGATGCCAACACAACGACGAGAGGTGCGAGAGACAAGGAGGCGCAACATAATGATACTCTGAGTGGACAAAAATATCGTTTAAAGCTTCACTTGATATGGTTGTAATTTGAAAATTTAGGTGAAAAGTTATTGATGGAAATTGTGTATTAAAAAGTCACTAAAAAAATTATTTGATGTATATTTGGAATAACAAAAACTAAGCTATTGTTGCAAACAAGGTTATGATATTACATGTTAGGTTGTAAGTTGTAACATCTTATAAGTGCAGGGAAAGGCCAAAAAGATAAAAGTACCAACAAATAAATATAATATTATTTATACAAACAAAAAAAACATATAAATAACTTATTATGGCTATGAAAATAGAAATACTATGTAATTAAATATTTTATGTATAGAAAATATTAAATTGATACAAAACTCATGTACCCTATGACATATGAAGTTGTACTTTGTGCATAGAAGTTATACTTGCATAATGGAAACTATAAATGTGCTATAATTGTTAAGAATGGAAAGCAATATTTTATATAGTGCAACATAATTCAGACCCTATAAGGAGATCATTAATGAGCATGCAAGAATTTCAAAATAATGTGAATGATTCTGACAGTATTCAAGCCTTTACAATGGTTTAAGAAAACAAAATGAATTCAAATTTTTGTGGTATTGTATTGGAGGCTAATAAAATACTAAAAAGAGTAGATAATGCAAAAAAATTACCAGATCGATAATTTTCAATTCTCCTGCATTGAAAAAAATCTCAGAAATTATGGACCTCTAAGAAAATCAACACAGAACTCAAGTGCATAAACAAACACAGAAAATGTATGTGCAAAAAAAAAAAAAAAACCAAAGAAACAATAATAACTTCTCTTACTCTCAGGCAGGCTCAAATGAAAGAGAGTAAGGATTCTTTCTTTGTATTCAGACCGATCTACCATTGTGAAGATGGGGAATCGACAACCATCACAAGAAGCTGCTCGTTGGAAGCTACTCATTGGAAGTTTTAGATGGTGTTTGGCTGCAAGTAGGAATTAGTTCAAGTAGGATTTAATAAATATTGTAAATTTGGATTTACTAAATGCTATGTGGATTAAATCCTGAAAATTATTTAGTATGATAAGTGTTAAATCTAGTTGATTTAAGATTTAGGGATTTATATGATTTTATTTTGCTTATATCAACCTTAATTAGGCTAATTAAATAATACTTATCCTAATTAAACATCTCAAATAATAATTAATTAGTGATTATTAAATTAATTAAATAATAACTTACATTTAGACAAATAGAATTAAAAATAAAAGTAATACTAATTAAGATAAAAAACACTAACAAAAATATTTTTGAGAGTGAGATTCGAGATCTTAAGATTTTGTCTGTGCATGAGGAAGCAAAAGTTATGTAGGATAAATTAGCTAGTAATATTAAGAATGTTACAAATGATGTGCTTGGAGTTTTAAAAGGAAAAGCTCCTAATAATAAAAATAGTTGGTGGTGAAATCAAAATGTGAAAGAAAGATAAAAAAATAAGAAGCTTTGTTATAATAATTGATTTAGATATAAAAACTTTGAAAATTGGGAAAGATATAAAGAAACTTGTAAGGTATCTAAAAAGCAATATGTGATACAAAGATTAATAAGAAGCTTTGTTATAATAATTGATTTAGATATAAAAACTTTGAAAATTGGGAAAGATATAAAGAAACTTGTAAGGTGTCTAAAAAGCAATATGTGATACAAAGATTTTAGTTTTTAATGATATATATATATATATATATATATATATATAAGTTAGACATACAAATAGATAGGATCATAAGGATTAGTTCAAGTGAAATAAATTAAGGATGAGATCAAAAAAGTGTTTTTTTAGAAGAGGATATTCAACAAAGGTAATGATAAATTTTGCTAATTTTTCAATGAAGATTGTAAAGAATACGATTGACTTTAGTGACCTTAGTACTCTAAATGAAAATAGAAATTTTATTTTTATCATCGTATTATTAAAACTGAAGTTAAAGAGGCTTTAAAGAAAATGAAGCGTGGAAAAACTAGTGGACCTAATGATATCAATAGAGGTGTGGAAAGCAAAGAGATGAAAGAATTTCTTGGCCTACTAAACTTTAAATATTACTTTGAAGAGTAAAAAGAGCCAGATGAGTGGAGAATGAGCGTGTTGATTTACTATTTTTTAAGATAAAAGGCATGCACAAGATGTGCGAATATAGAGAATTAAGTTGATGCATCATACTTTAAAACTTTGGAGAGAGTTATGGCTCATAGGTGATGTGATATAATGTTTCTCAAAACAATTGGATTCATGCCGGGTAAGTCTACTATGAAGTTATTCATTATATGGAATATAGAGAGGTTGATATAGAGTTTAGAGAGACTAAGGAGATCTACATATGATATTTATGATTTAGAGAAAGCATAAGTATAATTCCAAGGTGCTATGGAGAGTTCTAAAAAAGGAAGGGGTTAATAATGCTTATATTCAAGTCATTAGGATATTATGCATGAGATGTTACTTGTGTTCAAATATAAGGTGGTTGACCAAGTATTTTCTTATTCAGTTGAATTACATCAGATCAACCTTAAGCCCTTGTCTTTTGCTCTAGTCATGGAATTCTCACATAGACATTGCAAGAGGATGTACTTTGGTGTATGCTTTTTGTTGATGATATTCTTCTTGTTTGATATAGACCAGAGAGGGAGTTAAGGTAAACTCGAATTATCGGAGATCAATCTTAGAGTCTAAAGGTTTTCGTTTGGTATATCTAAAAATGAATTACATGAGTGTAATTTAGTAGTAATTGACAAGTGGGGGGTTTGTGACTTTGAGCGATCAAGTCATTAATTAAGTGTACTCATTCTAGATATATTTGGTTATTATTTAAAGTGATGGTGAAATAAATGGGGATATTATTAGTAGAATTCAAGTTGGCATGGTTGAAGTGGAGGACTGCTTCGGATTATTGTGTGATAGAAAAGTACCACTCAATCTTAAGGGAAATTTTAAAAGATGTGGTTGAGACTTGCAATGCTTTATAGCGTAGAATGTTGGCCAATAAAAGAGAAGCATAAATATTAAGTTAAGTGTTACTCAGATGAGGATGCTCACGTGGAAGAGTGAACTTATTCTTAGAGACAGATACGAAACGAGCATATCCGGGAAAGGTTGGAGCAAGTTCCAATGACAAATAAGATTAGAGCAGAGTCGCCTTAGATGGTTTGGTCATGTAAAACGTCGGCTTCCGATGACCCTGTTAACGAGATAGATGTATTAGAGACCTATATTAAGAAAGGTAGAGGTAGACCTAAAATGACTTGGTTAAAAAATATTAGAAATGGCCTTTCTTTATTAGATTTAAATAAGAATTTGACCCTTAACAGGACACAATGGAGAAAAATGATTCATTTAGCTGACCCCACGTAGCAGGATAAAGGCTTGATGTTGTTATTATTATTGTTGTTCTAAGATAATAATTTGTTAATTAATTAATATTAATTATTAACATTAAATTAATTTCTTGATTAAGTTAACACATACACAAAATCATTTAATAAAAATAATTTTAATCAAATATACTTCTACTAATTAATTTATAATTTATTGAGGCTAATGTTCAAATTAATCATTCATAAATAGTTTATTAAATTAATTTAATATGATAAATTTGATCAAATTAAATCATAAATAATATAAATTTATTTTAATTAATATCTTTTAATTAATTAATATTAAAGATTAATATTAAATATTATTATTTCTATTCAATCAAATTAAATAGTAAATGATATTAATTTAGTTTAAAACTATAATTAATAAATATTATTTGATTAATGCCAATAAATATTTCTAATTTTTAAAATTATCAAAAATATATATATAAATAATAATTAATTCAATTCAACATTAAATCCCCATCTTTCTCCCCCAATTTCCAATCTCTAAAATCAAAAACCCTTGATGATAGTAAGAAAGCTGTGACAGGGGCTTGCTGGAGAAGGCAATGACAAGACCAAACATAAGAGGAGTTGCTTGTGGAGTTGCTGCCCAATGAAATAAGAGATTTGAGGATTTAAGTTAAATACACTCGATGCTTGCTAAATCTAAAATTTAACGTACAATGAGGAAGAAATGGGATTTAAGATTCTATAGAATTTAAAGTTGTTATTTTTGTTGTTTGGTAGGATTTAGGCTAAATCCTGCTACCAAATAGTCCCCATGTTTTTGGCAGGATATAAGTTAAAACCTGCTTAAAGAATACTCAAATCCTGCTATCAAATAGTCTCACAGGATACTAATGTCCAAAAAAATTTGCAACGACGGATCCCACCATCACATTTAACGATACAAACAAGCTGCACAAAAACAAACGAAAACATGTTCAAGCAAGACTCGTATGTCTTTTCTTTCATTGTTTGTGTTCATTAATATTAGATATTTCTTCGTTCAAGCTCTGCTTTCCAGCAAAGTTGAAACTTTGTCCGGCATAAACCAAACAAAACAAGCCTGAAAAGAAATTAAGTTAACTGAGTCGCAACTAGTGAATCTCTGATCGAGAAATGAGTACAAATCTCACATGCGAGAGGTCTGATCACACACAGTAAATAAGCAAAAGTGCAGAAGTAAGGCAAATATCTGATCAATTATTCAACCAGAGTCAAAAGTTAGTATACATCTCACATGCAAAGGCGAGCTAAGATTAGCAAATGAAAAGAATTAAAAAAAAAAAATCATAACCGTTCATCTTTTTCTGGGAAGGAAAAAAAAAATCATAAAAAAGGAAAAATCATTGTTACAGTGACCATGCTTCCATCGGGAACCATAAAATAGAAATAAGGCTAATAAAATGGAAGTGTTGCTGTAATGACAGTTAAAAATAGATGAAAAACACTGAAAAAACAGATCTTTGCGCCATGCTTTCATCCAGAAAAATAAGTATGCGTCTCACATGCAAGTGCGAAATGGAAGAAAAAACTGTAAATAAAAATAATCCAAGGTTGAAAGAGTCTTAAGAGCTACAAGTTTCAGCCTGCAGAAAATAGGGTTAGAAGCTACAACCTACAGGTTGCAGTAAGTGAAGGTGGGGGAGGGGGGGTAGGCTAACCGTACGTGAAGGATTAGAAGCTGCGACCTGCACAATGCGAAAGGAAAGGCGAAACGTCCTGATGGGAGAGATCCTAGACAGGGCAGAAGCTGGAAGCTTGCGGGCGACGGGTTTTGCGGTAAAATTTAAAATTTGGGTGATATTTTTTTGCACTGCGTATGTAATTGTCTTCTGCGTGCAAATATACATTAATTGTTTGATTGGAAAAGGTTCAACAATTTTAAAATATAAAAAAGGAAAAATCATTGTTACAGTGACCATGCTTCCATCGGGAACCATAAAATAGAAATAAGGCTAATAAAATGGAAGTGTTGCTGTAATGACAGTTAAAAATAGATGAAAAACACTGGAAAAACAGATCTTTGCACCATGCTTTCATCCAGAAAAATAAGTATGCGTCTCACATGCAAGTAAGAAATGGAAGAAAAATCTGTAAATAAAAATAATCCAAGGTTGAAAGAGTCTTAGCTCGAAGCTAAAGCCTACAGGTTGCAGTAAGTGAAGGGGGGGCGGCCTAACCTTACGTGAAGGATTAGAAGCTGCGGCCTGCACAATGCGAAAGGAAAGGCGAAACGTCCATATGAGAGAGAACCTAGACAGAGCAGAAGCTGGAAGGAGGAGTTCGAGAAGCTTGCGGGCGACGGGTTTTGCGGTATAATTTAAAATTTGGGTGAAATTTATCTATAGGAGAGTAAAAAAATATTTTTGCCACTTCTAAAAAATTTTTTTGCCCCCCTAAAAAACTCTTATGTCCAAATTTGCCCTAAAATATCTATATGTTTTTTCACATTTAGTTTTAATATTCTCTTTCATGCTTTTCATGACAGTTTAATTACACTTTTTTTCTTTATTTTTTTTGCTTAATTTTTTTAAAAAAAAACTTTTCGTAATATATAGATATATAACATTATTTTTTTTAATATTTAATTATTTTTTTGTTGTATTTGCCCCCCCTCAAAATTGAAGTTGATTCTGCCCCTTTATACACACCACATACAAATACACATACATACAATAACAGAGTCAAGATTTAAATAAAGGGGTAACATAGCAAAAATCGATTTAAATAAAGGGGTAACATAGCAAAAATCGATTAAAATAAATTAAAAATAGAAGTTCTACTTTTTGAATTAACATAAATAGATAAAAATTAAATAAAAATATTTGTCTATAAAAGCAAATGACAAAATTAAAAAAAAAAATTGAATCTAATTATTATGATTAGATATCTTAAATTATGTCCAATGCATATTCATTATTGGGTTGTTTGGTTGGAAAAAAAAAGAATGTAATGTAAAAAATGCATTGTTTTTTTTACTTTTTTGTTACTTGGTTAGACAAAATATAAAGTAAAATAAAAGCATAAAGTATTTGGAACTCCCCGATTGCAACTCATTTCACGTGTAAACGACCAAAAAGGAATTTGCAAGCACGAGAGGAAGAACCCTGCGATAACATCTTCGTTTGTTTCCTTATTCTTCAACATTTAAACTTTGGTATGTTGAGTGAGGTCAAGTTGTGCACATATATCTTCTATGGTTCCCTTTATTGCTAATCGACCTCTTTCCTTCAACGACGTCCTCTTCTTTTCAGATCGAAAGGCACGTTATCTTCAGAACCTCACTTTTGCTCAATTAGATTAGGAGGCTTCTAAATGTTGCCTTGCATTTCTCAATTTCATAATTGCTATTAGACTTTGTTAATCGACGTCGAATGTTCTTCTTCGTCGTTCTTTTGAACACGTTGCTCAACTCACTGTTCGTCTAGTTTTTGTTGTTCTTTTAACGCTACAACTTCCTACGACGATGTTCATTTTTTCTTTCAGATCAGAAGTGGCGACATTTTGATCGGAAGCAAGATTCTGATCTAGAGAGGAATAGACATATTTTACTTTATTTTGCATGCACCTAAACAAATAGAAAAAAAATAGTTCTCATGCAATTAATTTACATACAACCAAACAGTCTTGAGATAATTACTTGACACTGCATTTATTTTATATTGCATTCACTTTACAGCTAACCAAACATCCCCTACATCAAAACCATCAACCATTAATTACACCTAAAAAACTATGCACTATCTTTCTTAAAATATATTATTAATAAACTCACATCAAAATCATCAATAATTAATTATACAACAAAACTTATTGCACTATTCTTCTCATTATACATATAATCAATAAACTCTCATGAGAATCATCACTCATCTTATTTCAAAATTGTATCTTAACACTTAGTTTTGAAAATGCATGTTAAATTGTTGCAATTGAAATAAATAAGGTTTAGATCAATTGTATCAAATGATTAATAAGAAGATATCTCATCAAATTTCTATTGTTAGTCAACATTCAACCTACATCAAAAATTATGAAAAAATTTGATACTGTTGAGCTTCAATTTTAAAATTCTTCATTTAAATTTGAAATGACTTTTTTACTATTTCTTAAAACAATTTTTTAATATATATTTTTAAATTTTTATATTAAAAAATTATTTTAAGAAGCAATAAAAAAATCATACCAAATGAATTCTAAGTTAAAAGCATGTTGTTCATCAATTGCCAATGCATTATTAAGAGGAAAATAAGACTTCATTTGGAGCAGCTATCTTATTGCTTTTTAAAATAATTTTTTAATACAAAATATACTAAAAAAAAATATTTTAAAAAGCAAAAAAAAATTCATCCTAAACAAAGCCTAAATATAAGAGACTTACATATGTAACACATAATTTTTTATATTCATTTACATAATAAATAAATCTCTACATCACAAAAAACATCATAAATATTAACTTACTTAAATTAAAGCACACATGTTCATGAACATGCTTTTGATATAACTTATATAATAATTTAAATATTAGATATGTAAATACATGACAAAAAAAAAAATTAATGTAGCCAACTCCATGTAATGAAATAAAAGTTCATTGTTGTTGTTGCTCTAGGTGTCAGATATGTAAATACATAAAAATTTTGTGGTGTACTTGTAAATCCCCTAATGAAAAAAAAAATTATAAGAGAGGGAAAAATTGAATAAAAGTTCATAAATGCAACACAAATATTGATTGATTCTTCATATATTAAACTATCTCAAACTAAATCCAAAAATTTTAAAACACCTCCTAATTAAATTTAAGATTTTCTCATCCAATTTGTTAGCAGGGGGTGAAAGCTTGCAGCCTATCAATTCTAATAGAAATAAAGTTTGGTAAGAAGTTGTCAAAAAAAAAGTTACATAAATATCCTCCATTTTAAAATAGTTTATGACATTCACTTTTTTGTTTTCTAACATTGACAACTTTTACTATAACGCAAGAGAGAAGCCACGAAGATACTTGGAATCCACTCCAGATTCGCGTACTAAAGCAACCCGGCCAGTTCTTGCCACCTAGAAACATAAATAGGATGAAGAAGAAAAGAATAAGTTCCAACAGATAATCAAGAGTACAGAGGAAATTAAGTTATTTTCCCATCAACTGTTCATCATACTATTAAGGTTTCGTTTGAGACAGTCTTCTTACTATTTTCTAAAACGATTTTCTAGTATAAAATTGTAATAAAAAACTGCTTTGCAAAATAGTAAAAAAACTGTCCCAAACGAAGCCTGAGTAACAAGTTATATTGAATAAAATACTTCAATAAAAATATTGAACAAGCCTAAACACTGCATGAAATCAAGCTTAGCTGGTTGCTTTCCATATCAAAACATACCATCTTCAGAAGCTGTATCTGATCTACTTTGGGTTAGGTAACCATAAATGCAATAAATAGTACCTTGAAATTCATCAATGTGGATTTCTCAATTCTTTTTGTCAAGAAATGATCTAGTTCTGATCAAATTTTTATTTACTTTCCTATCCAGTAAAAAAAATTTAATGTGTGCTATACTGCTAGTACATAGTCATGCCTAATAAGCGCATTTTCTCAGTGAAGTTTGTATGTGGATGATAAAATCAGATTACCCACACGCTTGATCACATAATTTTGGAGAAAGAAGTTTAAAATAGTCCTTAGATTATTAATGGGGATTTGTTATAACACCAGACTATCTAATGTGTCCAATTTAATCTATTCAGACTCCTTGATATGATTCAAAATAGTCCTTTGACTCTTTAAATTCAATAAAAAATAATCTAACATAGAGATTAGTTTGAATCATATATGAGGAGTGGATGAATCACATTGAACATATTAATTTGAAAAACATCACCCTAACCTGTTGTTGCTCCCTCCAATCACATGGAGTACTCAATTCTTTCTCTAATTGATTAGATTCTACCACCTATAGCATCCCTCACATGTCATTTAAACCCAATAGAGACCTAGGGCATCAAATTTCCCTTTCTTCTCTTATGCATCAGCCGCCTTCTCCTCCTTGCTCATTTCTTTCCCATAATAGCCGCCTGCAAGGAGTACTTCCTTCAATAGTGAGTTCAAACTTTCTCTTTTCCCCTCTGCTTCCTTGATTCTTTTTCCATGCCAAGGTGTAGGTTGAATGTTCTCTCTTTTGTAGAGTTTATGTTATTTAATTGCATTATGTTGAAATACTAATATGATGAGTTGGGAAGGAAATCTTGTTTAAGTTGATACTTGAATAATCAAAATTCTATATTATCTTACATCTATTAGTAGTATCATTAATCCAAGTTTTGTTGCCGAGCTTCTTTTAGGTTTGGTCTCCATAGGGTGTTTTGTTAGGTCATAGAGTCGATTGTATTATTTGGCGATTTTTTTTGTGTTTTCGGTGTGACCAAAGATTTTTTAGAATTTTATCATATGCTTCGAAGTGCGGGTTTCTAACAGTTTGACTTCATTGTTTATAGGACCTTTGAGTCATTGCCCTCGTAGTACTATCGATTGATTATCTTGGAGGCTTGGTGCTTTGTGTCACTCTCCTAGAGGTAAGTATTATTATCTATTTATGTGTAAACATATCATTCTTAGTTAGGAGTATAATCCGTGTCAACCGTAGAAGGATCCCTTATAACTATTTATATTATCAGTTCTATTTTGAATTATTTAGCATAATCACATGTAATAAATCTTTGTTATTGTTCACATTGAATCAGCATGTGATAATCAGAACTTCACTTGATTTATTGCTCATTAATTCTTAATCATGCAAGTTAAATTTGTATGCTGGAAAAGTTAGATTTATGCAATTTAACTTGGTTAAATAAAATGAATCTCATTCCCGCAAACCATATATGACATGTTGATTTATATAATATATGTTGATTATTCATAAAAGCATTTGTCATGTATAATTGCTTGTATGTCTGGAGAACCCTATTGGTTTTTGGCTAGCCGAGATCGACGGGTCCCTAGAATGACGACTCTACAGGAAATCACTGGATTTCCTTGGGTTGGTGTTAACCTTCTCGGTATAAGCATATGATAAACCGACAACAAATTTATAGGCAAGAAAAATAGATATGAATTGAAAATGAAAAATGACTTTTGCTAGGTATAAGGATACTTAGTGTGGTGCATTTGTAAATATTGAAGTGATTTGGCATCAATAACAAATTGACATATACCTCGCAAATCTTATGGTTGTTTTTGATATTGGGATTATAAATGACTACTACTCCCTTTTGGTCATTCATACTGCATGCCCCACTCCTTTGTTGTTTATGCTTTGATAGATAGAAGTTACTTGTTGAGTTTGATTTATCAAACTAACTCACCCGTTGTCTTTTTCAGTAGATCCTATAGGCATGTTTGGTGGACCGTCACCTCGGGAGCAGGGTTACTAATAGTAGACTTTTTTTGTATTTATTATTTGATAGTAGTTATGTTTATGATTTCTGTGGGTTGGACAATTTCTATCTTGTTTTTCGTTCTATTTATATTTATATTAGCTTGTATCAGAATTATTGTTAATTGAATGTATTGGTTATTTAAACTCCTATTAATGAATTGACCATTTATTTCACTTCATCTATTTACTATGATGCACATATATATATATATATATATATAATGTTGTATCTCTTGTATATGCATGCTTCTCTTTGTAAACACAAAGCAGTTCTACCTATCTCTCCATCGTGTCCCAAACTATCGGGTGTACCGCCTTCCAGACCCGAGGTTTGACAGTATATATGTTTGTGGGCTAAAAAATTTGAGCCCCAACCTCTCCGTAGCCCCTTTCTTTCTTTGCGTCGGCGAGGAGAGTTTTACGAGTATATTCCAAGGCAAATTTTTAAAAGCCAAATTGAGTTTTGAATAAGACATTACCCTGAGATTTCGCCCCTATTTTGCGATGATTATATGATCTAAGTTATGGTTTCCTACTATGTTGCACCGATACACCTATTTATGAAGGCGTGCTGTATCCGATACACCGATACACGGATACGCCTCTGATACTCCACCGATACGTGTCGGATACGCTAAAGCCGTATCCAATTAAAATACTATTTAATTTCAAAAGGACACGCATATCCGATACGCGTGTCCGTTGAAAAATAAAAAGAAATCCGAAAAAAAAAAAGACGTGTCGTATTAACTTTCGCGGTTGCGAGCAAGATTCTCTCATTTCCGAGATGGATTTGAGTCTCTTGATGATATGAAAATATTAAAAATTATTAATCTTTCACTTGATGAGCCTGAATTAGAAGCTATGATATTTATTGAAGATGATATGGAAGTTCAAAGACAAATCAATGAAGAAGATATTTATATCATTCCTTCTATTGAATAGTTGACACTTCATGTGATAGATAATTTATGTTTATGCTTTTGTTGTTGTACTAGACATTTAATACTTACTTATATTTTGATATTATAAGCTACAATGCTACAAATGATGTTGTTGCCATTTTTTTGTAATTTCAAATATTATGTTTTGATTGCTTTCTTAATTTTTATGTATGATTTATAAATTATAATGTCGTGTCCGTGCCGTACTCGTATCCTGTATTTTTAAGAATTGACGTGTCTCGTATCCGTATCGTATCGTATCGTATCCGTGTCGCCGTATCCGTATCGGTGCAATATAGGTTTCCTATAGGCGCACACTCTTATAGTTAATTACCCCTCCCAGTAACTAGAGAAAACTTTCAATTAAGGCTAGTCGTCAAACATACATATAGTATATGGCTTATAGTAGCCGCAAAATTTGATATTTGAAAATTTATATTTAAATCCACTTACAGCTTGAAGTAATAATGGGTAGGCTAATGTTGATGAAGATGCATAATATGAGAAGTTAAGCTTTACATTGAAAAACACAATCAATTGTGGTTCAAGAGAAACAAGATATCAGAATCCACGTGGCGCTGATTTATTACAAATTTTATCACTTAATAGCAGTCCAGAAATAACTTTATACTATTGAGAAATTTAGCAAGGGAAATGCCGGGACAAATTACAAACCTCACAAATACCATAGGGCTCCAATAATCTCTGCAATGCTACCATCTTGTCAAAATCTCCACTAATCTGCATGTAAGGACAAAAGGTCAATTTCAGGGGTTTTCATGAGTGAATTTCATGCGCATGTTCACAAGAAATTTTACAAATGAAAAAGGTGAAATATAATATTATAAATAGGAAATATTAAAGGAGAATATATTTAGGTGCACAGTAAGGAGATGGTCAAGAAATGCTCAAGTTATTCATCAAGGTAATTACAAAAACTCGTGCCATATGACAGGCAGGCAAGTTGAAATTCAAAAAATCATCTAACAATAATCACTAAAAGTTCCAAAAGCTCTCTCTCTCTCTCTCTCTCTCTCTCTCTCTCTCTCTCTCTCTCTCTCTCTCTCTCTAGTTTGAATGGCCATATTTTTGGAAGGTAATGCATCTCAAAATTTAGGTTTAGTAAATTTTCCTTGATTGTTTTTCCATTTTTTTGATAAATTTTAAGCTCTATCCCTCTCTATAGTTTGATTGGTCATATTTTGGAGGGTAATGATCTCAAAATTTGAGATTTAGTAAAATTTCCTTGATTTTTTTTTCCAATTTTTTGGTAAATTTTAAGCTCTCTCTCCCTCTCTATAGTTTGATTGGTCATATTTTGGACGGTAATGCATCTCAAAATTTATATTTGGTAAATTATCCTTGTTTTTCTTAAAATAAAATTTAAAATCATAAAGATAACATATCTTGGATGAGTTTGGGTAGAATTCCAATGGTTACAATGGAGCTTAAGTTGTTTCAACCTAGTTTTAGTGGTTTCACAATTTGACAGTTTTGGCCTTAGTTTCAATTTTTTTTTAATCAAAATTAGCTTAACTTGATCAAAACCTAAAATTTTATTTAATTCCCAATAAATCTCAACCAAAACCAACTAATTAAGGCAGTTTTGGATTGGCTTCAGTGGAAAATTTAAACCAAGGGTAAAATCATCCTTGAAGCGTTGCAAAAAAAGCAAAAAGTTTTACCTATAACTTCCTTTATGGGAAAGAATTTCTTAGATGCCTATAACCTACCTATGTAAGAAAGAACTAACCTTATGTTGACCAATAAAAGTTCCAAATAACTATGACAGTTATGGTAGTGGGTTCGATCTGACCTGTTGTCCCAAGAGGAGGTCCCTCATAAGTGCTTCTGAAAGTGAAAACAATCAAAGGTGTTGAGATGTCTCACTAGTCATTCCACTACAACAATCCAAAGCCTCCAACAAACCAATTGAGTCAACTACAATCAACCCCAAGCATCCGTGGTCAATCTTGATCATGTAAACAACCCACTCAAATCAAGTAAGTCCATAGCTACACCAAGTCACCAAGCGCTACAACCCTTTGGCTTTTTCAACAAAAGACAACTATGAGGAAAACTTCTGGAAAATTGTCATGTCATGTCAACCAATGATAAATTCACTCCTAAGAGAAAAGTTAGCATAATCTAGAAGTACAATGGTCCTTAAATCCAAATTGAACCCACCATTGATTCGGTCAAATATGTCATTCCCAATGACAACCCATCCGATCAGCCACTAATGAGCTCAACACTAAATACAAAACTTATTTGACCGCACATAGGTGACACTAGCTTGATGCGCGTGAAAAGCCACCATCTATCATGAGACTCCAAAACATTGATGAAATTCTTAATCTTGGGTCTATCTACAAATTAATCAAGTTGAATCCTAGAGGGGACTAAATCTAACTCATTGATCATGTGACAATCTTAGTTGCAATAGAAATCAAATAAATCTCCAATAGAATCTGCTAGCACTCAATCTTCATTCCTTAGTAGAGCCCATCAACCTCAATAAAGACCAATCATGACTTGTCCACATAAGAGTTTACCAACCATCCATCTCCAATAGGTCCATCATGTTTCAGTCATATATAACTTGCCTTCCCTTCTTGATGAAGGGCGTGGCTATGGAAATTACTATCAGAGGGAAGGGAACCATTTAACCCCACTGTGATCACCACCTCCAATAAATAATGTCAAAAGTTCTCCCCCAATGATGGATATAATTATCCACAAGTAAAAATTGGATGGGATATTAATACCACAATTACATACCAAATATAAAATGTCCTTAAAATCCAAAACAAAATACCAAAAGGAACTACTACTCTGATGATAGCCTAAAGCATCATACCCGGAAATGCATATAATATTTTGCCAATCCAATGATCAGCCCACCTCTAGCTTCAAACTTGTTGAGGACATAGAAATAAAAGCTAACTAAAGCTCACAAAGCTAGCCAAATATCAAATCAATGTATTCAAACCGACCAAAATCTCAAAATGTGTTAATAAGGATATGAGAAATACCTGAACCAAGAGTTTAACTTGCTTGTGATAGAAACATAATATTATGCCATAATCAAAGCTTAATATGTTCATTAATGAATAGATATCTAAGCCACTTATTAGCTCAATGCACTTGATTTGGTGTAAATTGATGGACAAACAAAAAATAAAAGATGAAAAGACTTTAGGTACATAGCCTGAATCAAAATAGAAAACAAATAATATATCTCAAAAATAATTCTGTTGACCTCAATACCTGCCCAGCAACCCAAACTGATCAAATTAGATGACAACGCCAGATACAGTGGACAATAAATGCAATTTCACGCCAATCTTGTTCAAAACATATCGACTAAAGCAAAAAAATCACTAAGTAGTACGTCATTTCATAAAATAGATAGCTCCCATCCGTCAAGAGCACTGGAATTACCAAGAAAGACCCCAGCAACCGATTTGGTCCAGTACAATAAAAACGGCATACAACCGACTTGGCGTCATGCAAATCTAAATTAAAACGCTTCAATCACAATCAAAGTCATCAAATCGTCATCCATTTCATGAAACAGACTACATAAATAAGCTCAAAACTTTGAAAATACCCAATCAAATGGGATCAATATTCCATGGATCGCAGCATGAGAATAAAGATGAAATCTTATCAGAATGCGAGGAGAAGACATGAAATTGATTCAAGCAAATGATGAAAATTTGCGAGAGATCATTATACACATAAAAACTCACTTTAAAATATATAAATTAATATAGTTATAATAATATTATCATCATTGTAAAAAATAAAGAGAGAGTTTACCATCTTAAAAGCTAAAAATAAGTTGAGAGCTCAATTTTAGAATGAGCATTGTTAACCTATTTAATTTAACTAATATAATTTATATAACATGTTTTATTTTTATTGATTTCTTTTTCCATCAGTTTATATAACTAATTAGCTTAAAAAGATCATTTTCACATATTTATTTATAATTTAAGTTTGAATACTAAATCTTATAACATTAATCGAAACTTAAACAAATTAATATATAAAGACAATTTCAATCTTCAAATTTATTAATTTATGCTTCTAAATTGGGCTAAAACATTAACAACCAGAACAACAACATCAAGCCTTAATTGGCTACATGAATGTTTTTTTCTCCGTTGTGTCCTGAAAAACCAAATCATGTTTTAGCCTATGGGCTAAGCTCAATTTAATATTGAATCAATCAAGTTCGAGCTAAGCTAAGTCAAGCAAATAAGTTCTAGATCGAATCATTAACAACCCTATAAGAAAAAATCATATAATAAAAGTAAGAAAAAAATACTATCTTTTTAAAAAAGTTACAAAACACCTGACAATTATTTAATAAGTTCTTATCCCATGAATTGCATGAGATTACTTTCTTGTATGATTGATGTACTCGAGTTCAGAGAAAGAATCTTGCTAATTTCACAAGCTAATAATAATGCTAGTGTCTTTGGCTGCATGCAAGTGAATGAAAATATGGAAAACTCGTAACTTCAATTATTTTTCCACTTTTTCTAAACTTTGAGTTCAAGGATACCTGGAGCGTGATTGTATGGTCAGATACATCAACTGCTTTTGCACGGAAAATGTCAGCAATGTCAAGGATGTCCCTCCGTGCAGTGGAATTAACAGAAACCTTTATCAACATCAGTTCTCTTTCAGCAAATGGTAAATGAGTGATATCCTGAACCTAATAGGACCAAACAGCTTCATAAAGACACTGAAATTGTAGTCAACAGAGGAATGACAAAAACATAATAGCTTCTGCTATTTACTTCATAAACATCTACGAGCTTGTAGAGCTGTTGAACCAACTTGCTGATGGATTCATCAGTTCCAGGTACAACAGTAGTGATTCGAGATGTCCCTTCTTTCTCAGCTGGACCAACAGCAAGACTCTGAACAAAGAAGGTCGTCATGCACAATAACTTGCACGCCAGATAGAAGCCATTAAATAGACAAACAATAAGAAACAAGAAAGTTATAGCAGAAAAAACCTGAATATTGTAACCCCTGCGAGAGAAGATACCAGTCACAATGTTGAGAACACCGGGATAATTATTCACTAGAATGGACAAAGTATGGGAACAAAAACCACTTGACTAGAAGAAGAAAAAAAAAACAGGTGTTAGAATTGACTTTCAATGATAAAATAAACATATCGTCTGAAGTCACACACCACATATTGTTCTGTAAGAAAAATAGATCACAAAAAGTAATTGCATATTCACGGTCAACTGAAAGCAGATGATCTCTCATCTTTCTTAAGCATCAGAAACACATGAGTTCATTGTTGGGTCAAACAACAACATCAAGCCTTTGTCCCACTACACGGGGTCAGCTACATGAATACTTTTCGTCATTGTGTCCTGTTAAAAGTCAATTTTTAATTTAAATCTAATAAAGAAAGATCATTTCTAATATTTTCTAACCAAGTCTTTTTAGGTCTACCTCTACCTTTCTTAACATAAGTCAAATCTAATACCTCAACTTTCCTAACTTGGTCATCGGAAAGCCTCCATTTAATGTGACCAAACCATCTAAGGCGATTCTCTCTAAACTTATCTTCCACTGGAGCTACTCCAACCTTATCTCGTATATGCTCATTTCATTTCCTATCTTTAAGGGTAAAGCCACTCATCCACCTAAGCATCCTCATCTCTGCAACACTTAACATAGTTCAAAGCAAGCAGCATAAATTAGATCTCCTAATTTAAATTCCAAAATACAGTTGTCACTTTAACAAAATTATATAATGCAAGAATAAATGTTTTAAGACATGATATTCAGCCATTCTGAAGGTTGTTTAAAATTGTAACCACCAAGTCCAGAAATTTATCGTTATCAAGTTCAGTAAGTAAATATGAATTGTTCTTGTAATGTATTAAGTCCAATTTGTCATATATATTTTAAGTCTTATCATAGGAATATGATCCGCTTCTATATAATTGCTAAAAGGATGATGATTTTTCTCTGCAAGGTCAAACAAACAGTGAGTATATTAATATCTCTGCGTTTTGTTTCTTATATAGCTTTTCCAGTGCTGCTTTTTTACCATATCAGAAAATGTCGGGATTATCATATTATATAGCTTTCCAGGACCCAGCAGAGCATTCTAAGAGCATATTCTCGTTCAATGCAGTAGCCCCTGAAGCTCCAAACCATACAAAAATTCCATCTGAAAATCAACATTCATACCACATTCTTGTAGCATGTCAAGGCTAGGTCTTCCAAAACAAAGCTAATATGTAATAAAGCAAGCCACAGTACAGGAAGCTGAGGTATGACCTGTATCTCGATCTGTAAAGGTTAGGGAGCAACAAAGGAGATATAGACTCAAATGCATCATAAACCTCTAATATAGTCTCAAATAAACAAACTTCTTAAATCAAGGCAAAATCCCAATTACTTGATAAACTACAGGCTGATTACTATCATCATCATTTATTCGAAGATACTCATCAGTAGAACCAAGGTCATCTTCATTCCTCAATTGGTCACATACTATCTTTCCAAGGATCCAGATGGTCTTCTGGCACAAGCACCTTTTGTACCTATGTTTTTAGCAAGATGCCCTATTTTGGATTTCATCCCTTGAACTTCACAAGTGTCGGCTGCTTCTTTTGAGATAGAATTGCATAAGAAGCAAAAGTACAATTAGGAGTAACAGAGTAATGATATCGATGTTTTGGGTGGGAAAGATATTGACAATCATCGTACTTAATGAATATAACATCATGGGTGTCATAACCGGTTGGATCAGTTCAGTTGAACCGGACCGGACCCAACTAAAGCATGGGCAAGTAGTGGAGTTGAGCGGGCGAAGTAAGCGAGCCAAGCGCGAGTGCAAAAGCAGATAGTGGGACAAGATCACACAAATGAGTGAGAAAACACGTTCAAGAATGAAAGAAGGTGACTCCTGAAGTGAGATAAGCCCATTTCGCTCACTCAAGTGAACCATACAACCACTGGAAATATCTGAACGAAAGGAGGTAGCAATAGAGAAGAAAGAAAAGGATATTGGGTGAGAAAAAAAAGAATTTGGGTAAGGAAAAAGAATATGGTGCTTGTAAGAAGTTTATTTTCTTTCTCCATTGCTCAAATTAGGTAAGTAATTTATTACTTTATTTTATAATTCCTTACGTGAAGGAAAGTCTAGGGAAAGAGAAGAAAATTTGGAAGAAAGATCACCGAAATATTTTGATTTAATTTGATTTAAATTAAGAATAGTTAACTTTCAATAATTTTTAAAAATTAACCGTAGATCGATGTAAATTCTTATTTAAGATATATTCGTTCATTTAATTTACGGAAGTTGAATGCAGTAAAGAAGAAAAAAGGAAGAGTGTCCAACTACTTTATTAATTGGTGAAAGGTAAGTTATTTTATTTTCTTTTAAAAGAAAGGAATTTAATGTCTTGTTTATTGAATTAAGATTTTGGGATTAATATAGAAGGTGAAATTTTTTATTCGACGAAAAGGAAGATCAATTGAGTAAATAATTTACCATTGTGCTGAGATAAAGTACTGATTTCCAACAAAATTTCTAGGAAACGAATAGGTAAGAGATAATTAAATGTTAATGCAAATTTATTCAAATTTAATGGAAAATGTAGTTTTAAGGTAACTGTATTATTCATATAATTTTGTACATGACTTTAGATTGCACTAAGGAAGGCCTAAAGAACAAGGATATGGAAGGATATGTAATAAAGAAAATAAATAAAGTAGGTAATTACAATTATTTTATAGCAATTCTAATTTTTTTTATTGCAATTATTGTATGTCGTAGCATCTATTTTGTCCAAATATTTAATATATAAAATGAATCAATTGAGAAAAATAAAGTTGATGATTATGTTAGTTATAGCAAATTTATTTTCTTTATTTTATTGTTAAACATTATATCATGCTCAAGTATTTCCATAGCTAAATGTTTAATATGTAACAAATTAGAGAATGACTGAATAATTGAAATTCATAATGAGAAAAATGTATTTACAAATTTCTTTGATGAAAAATGAAATAAACAAAATGAATATTAATATGAAAATTAAAAGTATAAAAAGGGAAAAAGTGCATACATACAAATACAGCAGTTTACCGAATTTCGATACTAGTTGAGGACGTAATATACCCGTGCACGTTAAATGTAAATGATTAAACCTTTATTAGTACAAAATTTTAGACGATGCTCATGTACTAAATTTTATACCTTCCTAAGTTTAATGTCCTAAATAGTTAAATAATTGTAATAAAAACTAATCTATTTTAGTTTTATTGATTGTTTTGTAGCAGGTAGTGTTCTCGGTCAAGGTGCTAATTAGAGTAGTGGAAAATAGCTTTATATGCACCATTTTTCTTGCTAAAAGCAAATCATTTTTTATAGAAATAAAAGTGAATGTCGATTTCCTTTCCCATTCTCCCATAGGCTATGCTATTTTAGTATTAAAGCCCATGGTAAATGACAACTAGCAACTTGTTGATGACGCTTATGATTGGAAAGTATTTACTATTTAGTGAAGCTCATTCCTCTTAAATGCATAAGCTGGATGCATTGTCAATCGAGTTAAGTGCTTTGTTGCAAAGATCAAAATGAAATTCACGGCTTCAAAAATAGTAGTAATTTTCCCCAGTAACCACATCGATAGATCCGATAACCATACTACTGATAGGCAAAGCCGTTGCAATAAATTGAGTTCTGTTGTGCCCACATCGACTTGATACCTTGTCTTATCTAGAGCTTCTTGCGTTTAATGAAGATATAGTTGCTCACCGACAAGCCATGTATTTCGGCTCGAATTTAGATATTAAAGAAGCCTTTTAGGAGCACCCGCAATGAAGGTGATATTTTTTGAAGAAATAATATAGTGACTTTAAGATAAAAATCAATATTTGCTTTTTTACGAACATTTACCCAATGAAGATTACTTGGATTGACAAACAATTGGTGGAAACATTCTTCAAGTGTATAGAAACTCCTATTGAAAAGCAAGTCAAATATGTTGTGTGCAAACTAAATGAGGGAGCAAGTGCATGGTGGATCCAACAAATGCAATCTTGTTGAAGAGGGTCGAGGGAATGTGACTAGCTGGTGTCAGATGAAACAAAAGTTAAGAAGTCATTTCCTTCCTTCAAACTACCAATAGATGTTCTACCATCAATACAATAGAGGTTCACAAGGAAGTCGCTCTATCAGTGCTTACACTAATATATCGCCCCAGTGTGTAAAATAATCTCCATGAGGCTATGCAACAATGATTAATTCAATATAGGTGATTTGTGAGATGCAATTCCTTTTTCAGCTCACTAATTATAGTGTTAGCACACGCCTGCATGCTTTTGTTACAAATGAAGAAGGGGATCAAGGGACTGTCAAAAACTATTTTTCCATTCATTAACTTTATGATGAGTAGAAGTTTTATAAAAGCCATAAAAAAATCTAGATGAATTCCTTTAGGGGAAAAAAAAGTTAAAGGGAGCAATTTAACTACATTCGCAGCTATGTAGTTTCCACCTTAGGGGGTAGTTCTTAAATATCCGATAAGTTCTAGAAAATTGTGGGTCTTCTTCAAACAAGCCAAGTAGGCTTCAACTCCTGTAAAAAGAGACATATTTCTTAGTAAACAAATCAAAGGCTGGTGCTCTGACATTGAGAGAAAAGACCAATCAATTTGTCCAACAAAGTAATCAAAAGCAGTCAAGGATAGCATCATAATCATGAAAATTCCAGCATTAACATATATTTTGTTTAACGGGCTTCAAAACTTGGAAAAAAAAAATTAAGGTCAACGTTGGGCAAACCCACCCAGCTCATCTTTTCTTTTAGAATCTAGCTCACATTCAAGCGCCTTGTAAGGGAAAGAGGATATTGTAGAGATGATTGCATCTAATGATTAACTTAGCATCATCAAATAATAAGTATTAGGTGATAATCTACAATAGATTATAACGCCCTTGTTGGCATCAATCGTCTTTAGCTTAATTAAATAGCAGTTTCAAATAATGACATTTGTCACTTGATCAAACATTAACACAGTTGACCATAAATTTGAACCCAGCAACGGCTTAAAAGTATTTTAAATACCAGCAATAGTGGTGAAAATTGTCACAGAATAAAGGATGCCATCGCCACTAGTAGACACCCCTTACAACAATACTCATATAATGATTTTGTTAGCTTGTAAGGATGTTCCCTGCATATTCCAGCGCCTAGTCTTTTCAATATATATCAGCGCCTATTAAACTTTGATGCTTTTGTAAATTTCTCAAGAGAGGTTCAGGACGGTGCTTCGGTGAATCTCAACCTTATAATAAAGACCTTTTTTTTCAAGGAAATAGAATAGAAAAAAAAAACAACAAAAATGCGATCAACTTAGATAATCTCCAATGAGCACTAAACAAAATTGGTGGTAGAAAATCCAGAAAAAAAAAACTAAAAATGCAAGGAAACAATAGACTTACATCTTCATCATCAAGAACTCCCCAGTGTGCATCAAGAACTTGATTTACTTGCAAGTTATCAAAGGGCTCCACCGGATAGACGTCTCCCTTCATGCAATCAAAAACTAAGCAATGCTCATAGATTTAACATCATAAGTGAAAGCCAAAAAACACAGCAATAATATCCTCATAAATAACCAAATATTTCAACTGGAAAATGACAGCGCAGAGAATTTGACTTCACATGGCAGCATAAGTGGATGATCCCTTCATTTAAGGGAGAAAAAAAGGGGATCTTATTAAAGCAGACTATTGGCAACAAACGTCTATCCGAAGCAGATTATTGTCAAAAAATCCTAGGGAAAAGGATGAAGGGATTCAATGGGAGGAAGGAATAGGTAAGTCTGCTTACAAAACACAATGATGAAGTAAAAATGCATTTACGGGGAAAACGACATGAAAAGAAAAAGTAAAGTTGCTCTGAACATAAACCATGAAAAATTTTCATATAGAATCATGACGTTACTAGTTATTAACTTGTTATTGTGCCAGTTTAAAATTTAGAGTGAGTAGAAAAGAGCTTTCACTAGAGCTGGACGTCAAGATGATAAGCAGTGATCATCCAGAGCACAATGCACACAGGATGAAAAAAAAAAAAAACTTCAACAGATTGAGTTATTATCTTGAAGAAATTAGAAAAGAAATGAACAGAAATCAGATTCAGTAGCATAAACAAAATTTCATTGTAAGTTGAAAACATTAAAAACATTAAGTTTTTATCATGGAAACTTTCTTCCACAATGACAATTGAAAATTGATGTGATAAAACCGGTTATTGTCATCACACATTTCCCAAAAAAAAAGTTATCATAAGTAGTGCAACACATGTCAACCCATAAATCAGGACTTACTGACAAGATATACTGAAGGTCATCTTATAGAATTTATCCTTTTTCCTAGAGTCTGATTTTAACAACAAAAAATTGCAAAATAGCTTGCATGGCTGATGAAAATAGTAGCATCATACCCTAGAGGAAAGATCTGTATCAACATTGAAAGTTTGCTTCCTTGATGCAAGAAAAGGTCTTGATGGTATCATCCCCTCAAGATCTGGGTAAGATGCCGCAGAAAACCTCCAAAATGGGGCATTCTCTCCCATCTTTTCACGTCTCAAAGCAATCTGATAATAAAAATTTTGATATTATACAAGAAAGTTCAAATGCATTGATTATAAATGTCTGAAAATATTAGATACCTTGCCTGTCCTAGCAATTTCTCTTATTCCAAACTTCCTCAAATTCCGAAGGACCGCAACCATTTTCCCAGGATCACCAGCCACCTGCATTACTCATCCTTTATATGAAACCATGAAAACTTAAAAGAAAAAAGAATTAAGAAATGAAAAATGCCAAAACATTACAAGGAAGTCGCCTCACCTCGATGGTTAATGAATGTTCTGAAACATCAACCACTTTTGCTCTGAAGATATCTACCAAACCCATAACCTGGGCAACAAAAGTTTACTATGATTTAGTGGGACTTATGAAATACAAGCCAACTTAGATTATAATAGGCATTATTTGAGAATTAAAAAAATACCAAAATTTATTAAAACAATTTCTTAGAATCCACTTAAAGCAAAGCAAACATTTAGCAACTGCTGAGTCACCATTTAACCAACAAGAATATCAAGATCAGTAATAGCATTTCAACAAATGATTCTATCTTTTTTATTGTCAATATATAAAGTTGGAAATTTTGAATCATCAGAAACAAAAAAGGTACAATTCATAACGTACGTGATAACTAGAAATAGTCCCCATTGGCATGTATACAAACAAGCTGAATAGCTAAAAATAAGAATAATCTCATCATCTACCTCTTGACGCCTTTCAGGTTCCACTTTGAGTTTTACTAACATCAGCTCTCGTTCTACTTGAGGTTCCCTTGACAAATCTTCAACCTAATAAGCGAACCAAAGATAAAAAAAACATCTGCTAAGAAGTAATAAGAAACACAACATTTCAACACCATCCAGTTAAATTTTACGATAAACTAGAACTGATAAATAGCCTACAAAGTGCTAGTTTTAGCATAGAAAATGAGTATTAAAGTCAGCAACCTAGTGCTTATCTATAATGGCTAATTATTGAACTATTCAAGCATCAAATGAGTTTCATTTGGTTAAAAAGATTTTTCGCAATCAATCAACCAACCAGAACAACAGGCTTAGCAAACGTGATATTTTTCTCTCCCATTATCCGCAAAGTTCATTTGGAGAAAATTAAACCATCGAAAGAATTGGACAGGAAAAGTTTGAGCTGCTAGAGAGATCTTTGGAAAAAACAGAGCAAAACTGTAAATTATACAACAATCTTCTGTTTCTCATTGCAATTTTACACCCTCACCTAAAAATAAAACTTTCCCGATTTCCTGGCTGTTCGGGTGGGCTTCTGTCGTGCTTTTATTGCTTCTTTTTCTTCCCCTTTTTGGTTGGCTGTAATGGGCTGTTGTGTTTGGCTGCTGGCCTCCTTTTCTTTCCTATTTATGGAAGTGTTTTGGGATGTTTTCTACAGTTTTTGGAAGTGAAAAAATGTGATGATTTTTCGAGCAAAAACCTGAGGGTTTTTTTAGCTTGCGAGCTAAGTCCCCTTTCTCTTTCTCCTCTTATATTTCGTCTCGAACTTCTAATCCCTTCCTCTCTATCCATGATTCCCGCCTCAACTTGTATCCTTCTTCTCTAAATTAATATAAGTTATATGGTTGTCAGTTTGTTATGTTTATGTTTTTAAGGAAGCCGTATAGTTTTTTTTTTTTTTTGCAACCTTAGTTTCCTTGGTTGCATCAAAATCATATGCATCTGGATGCAAAAATAGATTTCCTATAGGCTGTAGCAGCATTAAATCTTCACAAACAAAATCAGAAATCAAGTTACAAAATTTTAAATTTGCTTTCAATGCTAAAAGGAGGACCGAAGGGATGAAACATTTAACATACTAATACAAGTTTATTTATATGCATTTAAGAATATTTGAGTTACAGATTTTCTGTCCTCATACAAAACTGCCACGCCAAGCTTCTTATTTCCTTTTTGTTTGTTATAAATGTAATGCAAATCTGCTGCAATATTGAAGATCAGCTACCGGTAAAGTCATTGCAGCCCCCTTACAATTTAGACGGTATATAGTATATACAGATTATGCATGCACAATCAACCAAAAACTTAGCTTGGTAATATTGAAATGTGCCGTGTTGTACAAAATAAATTCATTGTTGCTCTTAAGAAAATTAATGAGCGGCTAAAGATGTATCGCCTAAAGCTACCGAAAAAAAAGCTCGCATGCAGTTGTATTTTTTTACTTAAATGTTTCTAATACAAATTTATGATCGCATCTGTAAAGCTTTTGAAATGAAAAGTTAGAGAAAAGTTACACCAACCGATGCTTATAGGTCTATTTTTCACAAGTTATCTTCAATATATTCTACTGTCACCTTGAATAGAAATCTAGAGGTGTATACTTGTCGGAAGCTCAAAAAGTGTGCATGGGGATGAATATTACAAGGCTTGGTATTTTATTTTCTACTTCTAGACCTAGTTTATTTTAAAGTAATCATTCTTACGATGTTAGCACCTATGAAAGCTGGATGTGTTCTCAAGCATAGTGTTTACATTGATAACTTTGGCTTATTTTTGTAAAAGCTTTTTTTTTCTGTTAATTCTTGAACTTCCCTAGTTCAGTTATATAAAATTATTAGTTTTACCATATGCATCCCCTATGTCCACTAATTTGGAAATTCATGATTGTTGTCGCTAATTTGGATATGTTCCCTCCATCCCTCTATTGGTTTGCATGTTACGAGAAATTCTTATATAGCTAGGGCCACAAGATTTACACATTTGCACATATGCTATTGTAAAGTAAATGACGTTGTTCTATTCCTTCAATATGCGAATTTCCTTCTACATCTTTTTCTTTTGCGGTTCTCCTTTGGAACAATTGGTTCCTTCATTTCTCGATATTGCACTATAGCTAGAAACTGATAGTTGATAGAATTATTGAATGGGAAAGCTGTAAACAATTGTCCTGCTAAAATTAAGGCTGGAATTTTGTTGTTTTTGTTATAACTCATGTGTGAAGAATTGAAATTTACAACATTAGACCACATCATTGAGGATTCCGAGAAGCTACTTGTGTTGGGCCTTTTGGGGATGTAAATAGGACCCAAAATTATCATTGATCGGTAAAATAAATTGTTGATCCCTTTACTTTATTTAAAACACATTAGTAATGGTATGTGTTCATCATTGAAAATTTATCAAATTAAACACCCAAAAATGATCATTTTTCAGAAGTAACTGATTTAATCTCATATTTTAAAATCGTTGATGCATCTCACATAGCAAAATTATATTTTTAATGAAGTGCAATTTATGGATTACATAAAATCATTATCTCTAACAAAGATGAAAAGTTCAAGTTTTTTTGGAAAACTCTGAAAGAAACGATAACCCAACTAAAATTTTCTACTGCTCACCCACAAACCAATGGAAAAACTAAGGTAGTCTGTTAGACATCAACGAATATCATTGGATTCTAAAATGGTGCAATCAAATTATGAAGCATAAGCTACAAACAAGATAGACCAACCTAAAAGTGTAAAAGTCTCCAAAGAATAAGAAAGAATAAAAAAACATTCCACATTAACACTACAATAAGCAAAAGACAGCAATATATCTTTAGCAAAATAAAGTACAAATTAAATAGTCTATAAATATGTAATAAGCAATTGTTTATTTCTTTTAAAATATTTTTAAGTATGTGTAAGGTTGACCGGTTTTATATTGTAAACTTAGCCTACCTTGTAATGACCGGTTTAGCTGGGCCGGTTCAACTAAACCGGCCAGCTTCTATTAAAACCCGACTCAGGGGAACGAAGCAGGCGGACAAACCGCGACCAGAGGCGAGCCGATCGCGAGCACGGGCGAGTTGCGATTCCGAACGAAGGATCGCGTTCGTAGTAATAAATTAACGACTCCTCTCATGAGATATTGTTAGTTCGCTCTTTCCGGTAGAAGAAATCGTGAGAAGGAAAGTTCTTGTTGAAGAGGAACGACTGAGAGTAGACCTGTCAACATTTGATCCGACCCGAAAACCTGATCCGAAACCGACCCTAAATTGCCGGGTTTGGGTCGACCTGGTTAAAGAACGGGTCGGGTTAGGGTTTGGAATTTCGACCCGTTTAGTTTTCGGGTCGGGTCGGGTCCGGGTCAACCTAAAAACCCGACACTAACCCGAAATGACCCACGCTGTTTTATAAATTAATAAATTATAAGTAAATAGCTGCGGGCGTCGAGCGGGCTAATAATTTCGTTCTGTCATTCCGTGGCTTGACTGGCTTCTGTCTAGGGTTTCTACTTTCTTTTCTCTTTTTCTCTCCGCCTCGCTGGTGCTGGAGCTCTCGCCGAGTCCGTAGTCATCTGCACGACGACGTATGCGCTTACGTTTCAGTCTTTCAGACTTTCAATTCAAACGTTCCCTGATCTGTTTCACTGTTTGTATCTCGTTTCTATTACCATTTTTTGATATTTTAGAAGATGAAGGTGTTGATATTATGTGTTCTTCATTTATTCTCTATTTCTCTGCTATGGTGTTGAGATTTTTTGAAGTTGAAGTTGTTCCGTGATCTCTACTTCTCTGTTAGGGTTTATCTCGGGTAGGGTTTTAATAATTTGTATGATTAATGGTTATTTTTGTGCAAATATTGTTGGCTACGGTGTTTAACCAACATATTGATTTGTCTCTACTCTCTAGCTAGCTCGGTTTGAACTTTTGCAGATGTTAGAAGCATTGAGGCAATTAGGGCATCATGTATTTTTTATTTTTTCCATTTTTGTTTTGGTTATTAATTACTATTTGTTGGTTAGTGACTGGTTTGTTGGCTATTAACCAAAAAATGCCATTAATTACTGGTTTGTTGGTTGTTGGCCCGTTAGGCCTTTAATTACTGGTCAATGACTAGTTTGTTGGCTATTAGTTACTGATTTGTTGGCTGGCCCTTTAGGCCTTTAATATGTTCAAGTGACAAATGTTATGTTAAAATATGTTTTACAATTTTAGTTAACTTCATATCATAAATTTCCAAATTTGACATGCAAGAAATATTTAAATATTCGCATTGTGAATTTGTGATGTCTTCTAATATTTTTGATAGATGGATGGCTCTACTACCATTGCTGATAATGTTTGTATTGATGAAAATGAAGAAGTTGTGTCATCTAAAAATGTGGTAGAGCCATGTAACATTGGTGTTTGGTTACTGGGTTTGTGGTTGTCACTTTCTAGATCCTTTATTATTCATGTTCTGATTTCTTGTGGATTATGTTTTCCTCTGCTGGGATTAATGATGCCAGGTTAATTGTTTTAATTGATGTTTTGGCTTATCATAGGAGGTGAACAAGTGTGGTAACTAGTAACCATTTTTGACTTTTTGCATTTCTATCATTCTCTAGATTATGTTGTTGTGGTTCATATGGTTTCTCGGGCCTGAGGCTTTGTGTGCGTTGCCCGTTGCTAGCTGCTGTTTAGTTCAGTTGTTGGCTTCTTGCCTTGGTTCAGTTCTCGGGCCTGAGGCTTTGAGTGGGTTGCCCGTTGCTGGCTGGCTGCTTGGTTCAATATTCTGTTTAGCTCAATGAAGTTGTTAACTGCTTATTGTATTGTATATTCTATAAATTCTTCTTCGTATTTTGGTTGTGTTGCTACTGTTAGCCTGTTATGTTGCTGGCTGTTGCTTTCGGTTTTTTGAAGTTGAAATGCAAGGAAGTGAAATGAGAAATTTACAGTGTAAGCGATGAAGCGATGATGATTAACCTTCTAAGATGAAAGTGGGGACTGGCCACTGGGTGGGAGTCGTATAAGTGTAAGTTCTTATGTACTATTATAATTTACAACCAGGTGACATTTATATTAACTTAGAATAGCAGATACTATCTTACATTCTTATTCAGAGAACAGATATTAA